CGCTGCGCAAATCTCCAATTCGCACGCCTCGCCACTCTTGAAGTTGCGAGATAGCCTGCCTCAGGTTCAACTCGTCAATGAGACCCTGGCATAAACTTTCAAAGTCGTCGTGGTTCATCATTCGAGCGAAAGGCTTGGCCTTGTTCAACAGGTCCCTCTCTTCCTTGCTCCTCTTCTTCTCAACCTTGGTGTTTTCGCGGTATTCCAGTAGGTTGTGCTCAAACACAACCTTTTTCCTGTCTACACGCTGCGTGAGACGGCAGTTGTAGATGTCCATCACAGTCAACTTGAGCTCCATCTCGGGCTCCAGCTCGCCTGTCCTAGGATTGAGGCCATCGCCCGGATCAAACTGCATGAGCTGTACAGCTTCTTCGGCTTCGTTTGCGTATTCGGTCTCGAACTCCAAGCGACCTGGCATGTATCCTTGAATCTCGTGACATGACGGTACCGAGGCCGTTGGCTTCGTCTTGGGTTGCAGCGTAGGTGCGTTCTTAGCGGCTTCCTTCCGCTCCTCTATCCTTCGCTTCTTCTTCGCTTGAAAGTCTTCCCGAGAGATTTCGTTCGCAAGGTCCATGTCGTGAGGACTGCATCGTTTTGGCAACGGGAATCGAGGAGATTCGACATAGGCTTTGTAGTAGTGATCCCGCACCTCATCCTTGTGGCGGAAGCCGCCAATGTGGTCGGCAATGTCGGCCCATGATCCCAAGCCGTAAATCTCTGCGCCTTCCAGTAACAGCAGTTCTTCATCGGCACCCCAATCACGGTCGAAGATTGGGAAGGAATTTTGTTCGATGACACGGTATGGATGTGATTCGGGTTTGTGGTTTGAGCTGGACTTTCCCTGGGAGAAGCATTGAACACAGAGATCGTATTCGTTGCAGGCAGGGTGCGCGCATCTAATTCGAACCTGCAGTCACAGAAGGTGTTTGTTAGAGCGATGCGCAAAGGTGTGGAGGGCGGGACATTTGAGTATGCGCCGGAGCGCAGACGCGGGGCACATCATCATCGATAGGAACAAAGTCAACAAAGCACGTACCGTCGAGGTGATATCTACGGAGCAAATGTCGCAATGATATTTGACACCGCCCTCGCCACCCCTTGTGACGGTCTTCTTTCTGATGACGCCCATTTCGTCCAGGGCTGCGGTGGGGACGTGGAGGCCAGCCCCTGGTCAGGCTGATCCGACGACGGAAGAGTTATTGCGATGCAGTGAAAGGCATATGATGTTACTACGAAAAGCGATGAACGGTGCGATAGGAGTGGTACGAGGTTCTGGATGCGAATGTGTGGTTTGACGATGATATCGATGGATTTCGGATGACGAGACGCGCGTGTTGACGAGGATTGATTTCCAAGGTGAGCCGTCGAAACACAGCCAGGCTCCAATCGAATTGAATCCGGGGATCGATGGCGGAACCGGGAGCGATGGTTCTCCCGAAGTCTATCCGGCGCTCGGGCCCCCGCCTACAGGCAGTCATCAATGGGATCAAGCCACAATAGTGTCATTTCCTTACATAAGCATCAAGCCACGATGTACCATCCGTAGTCCTCGGGCTGAGGCGGCTCCGCTATCCCCGCCATTTGGTTCGGTCGACGGACCAATACCCGGACTGCTTCTCAACATGCACACCATTTTTGGGTGAGCATTACCTAGCTCTTCTCACGTTGCGAGCTTCTCTTGGACCAAGTATCGCTTCTGAGACCTGTCGTATGACTTGATTTCCAGCGATGACATCCGACATGGTACAAAGCCTCAAGAGTAACGCGTTCGGGGGAGACTGCTCTTATGGCTTACCTAAGTGCAATGTCCTACAATGACGTCTCTCCCGAGGCTCGAGCTTTCCGCCGGTTTCCCGCCGCTGCTTACGGCGGAAAAAATGGCACCGATGGCCGCACGACAATGGTGCGCTTTGCGATGGTGGGGTTCGCGGGGCAGTCGTCGCGGTCCCCTCCTTTTCTCCAACAAACCCGACAGCCTACAGCCTACAGGCATGGCGCGAAACCTCTCGAGGCAGGGATACGACCGTCACTTTGATGAGCTGTTTTGTGGCAGCTCTACACCTACCTATTAATACCTAGCCTGACTGTCACTCGGCAGGTTGCGGCCGAGGGCTAGATTTTCTTCTCGTCCGTACTAAGTTAGTCTGAACAATAACAAGATTGTGTAAATAAACTCGAGGCTTTTTTTTCTTCGCCCTTTTACTTCCTGCTCTCGATCTCGCGACAGTACTGAGCTTTGTTACTTTGTTATCGCAAAGCTTCCCCGCCTTCATTTATACGTTCCACTGCGTGGAGACGCAAAACATCACCATGCCTGAGAAGATCCTCGACGACATTTCCCACAGACGGTACAACCCGTTGAAGGGCACATGGCTGCTTGTGTCCCCTCACCGGACCAAGCGTCCCTGGCAGTAAGAATGCGCCAAACCTGACTTGCGATGCGACATGCGCTGAGGTGGACAGAGGCCAGCAGGAGGGACCGTCAACGACGACGCTTCCTGAGTACGACCCAAAGGCAGGTTCTCACCCAGTTGCATAGAATCACCAAACGTGAGCTGACCAGATAAAGTGCTACCTCTGCCCTCGGAACCCCAGAGCGGCTGGTGACTCTAACCCCGACTACAAGAACACCTTCGTCTTCGTCAACGACTACAGCGCCGTCAAGGAGGAGCAAGCTGAGTACCACCCAGAGATAGAAAGCGATGGTATGCAACAAACACACCTCTTCCCAAAGGCTCGAAAATGAACCAAACCTTGACATCAAAAACTTGAGCAGACCTCGCCTCGTCCCTGCTGCGCGCGGAAGCGGCCACGGGCAAATGCTACGTGCTCACCTTCTCCGAGAAGCACCACGTCACGCTCGCCGACATGACAACCGCGGAGATCGCCCCCGTCATCGACGTCTGGACGCACATCTACGCCTCCCACCTCTCCTCCTCCAACCCGCTGTCCAAGGTCGCCGCCGCCCTCGAGCTGCCCCCCGCGACGCCCGCGAGCACCGTGCCTCACCCCAAGCACCATCTGCGCTACATGCAAATCTTTGAGAACAAGGGCGCCGCCATGGGCTGCTCGAACCCGCACCCTCATTGCCAGATCTGGACGACGTCCACCATGCCCGAGGAGCCTGGTACGGAGCTGGTGCAGATGGGCAAGTACCGTGATCAGCATGCCGGACGGCACCTGTTGGCGGACTACGTCAAGGTTGAGATTGAGAAGAAGGAGCGCACGGTATTTGAGAATGAGCACTTCCTCGTTGTTGTTCCCTGGTGGGGTGTCTGGCCTTTTGAGGTCTTGATTCTTCCCAAGAGGCACGTTCGCGCGCTTGTCGACTTGTCCGCCGAGGACAGGTTGCAATTTGCCGAGGCCATTCAGGAGGTTGCTAGGAGATACGACAACCTCTTTGAGACGCACTTCCCTTACAGTAAGTTGATATTATCTAGGGCAGCGATTCAGTGACGACTGACAGCTTGATAGGCTCCGGCATTCACCAAGCCCCTCTCGACGCCACTGAGGAGGAGGCCGAGAACAGCTACCTCCACATGCACTTCTACCCCCCTCTGCTTCGTTCAGCCACCGTCCGCAAGTTCCTCGTCGGATACGAGCTGATGGCCGAGCCTCAGCGTGACATCACGCCGGAGCAGGCCGCCGCTAGACTCAGGGGCACCGGCGGTGAGCTGTACCGCAAGATCATTTAGTGGAATACACAAAGGCACCCGTTGAATAGTAGCATCCTCGTAATTACAATATTCTTTCAAGTTATATATCCTCATTACTTCGTGCTTCAATCGAACTGAAACTGCAGTCCCATGTTTGCGCCCCATTCGAGATAACGAGACGCGCAAATGTGGTCTCGAGCTATCATCTAATCTTCAGAGCTCAAGTGGCTTCAGTAGACTAGCTTATCAACAGCATTTTATGATAACCCCTTTACGGGCTAGTAACGTAGAAGTCGCGCACCAACGGCATCCAAATCAAGGCAGTGGTGGCCAAGGTAAACGGGAAGTATTGCGGCAGACCGAACGTCATGCTCTTGAAGACGAACAGCTCGCTAGCAAAGTGACCCAACGCAACAACGTAGGTCCAGATGGCCAAGTCGTACATGTGCGCATGGTGCAGGTGATACGCGGCATAGAGGCGGACGATGCTCGTGAGGAAGGTCCAAGTGCCGAAGCAACGCGCAGCGAGAGGTGTCGCCTGATCCACAACGTCCGTCGCGCCAGCGGGCGCGGGGAAGTACTTGTTCACCGAGTCCTCTGGGTTGAACTTGTCAGACTTGGGGGCGAGCTTTGTGTTGAGGACGAATTTGCCGTCGTAGAGGCGGCGCGAGTAGTGGAGGGTCAGGAGGTTCTGGGCTGAGTTTCCGATGGAGATGAGAGAGAGCTGGGAGTTATGCTGGTTAGTGACATGCTTCAAGAGAGGGCGTTCTTGGTCCCTTTAAATCTCACCAGGAGCATGTAGTAGGGCAGAATACCCTTTGCTGGGGGTAGAAGATCCGTGAGAGACACCATTGTTGCTGCGTTGAAGTTCTGTGAAGCTCAATTGGTGCTGAACGGTGTGAACCTCGAGAGAGGACGAAAGACAAGCCGCAAAGGAGAAGAGTGGGCAATCACGCCGACATCTTCTTAGCTCACCTTCGAATTGCCCCAAGCTCCGTCTCCTTCGTATTCGGATTGAGACAAAAAAGAAAAGAAAAGAAAAGAAAAAAACGAAAAAGTCTCCTGTGGCTGGAGCTATCGAGGTGTGGCTTGACACTGCCTTATCGCAGCTGGCCAAAGCTCTCCACCATTCCCTGACAGCTTGGCGCGGGTTCAACAATTGAGGCAGAGGTGCCGAGGTGTGGCTGATGATTTCTGAATTGCATTTTCCACCATTTGCCCATCTCAACATTTTGTCTGTGCTGCTGTGCGTATTCTAAGGAGGTCTCGGACAATACCTTCCCCTCCTTTCAGCAACTAGCAACTTTCGACTTCATTCAGCGAGACCAGTAACGACTCATTGCAATGGGTGGAATCGCTGATCAACTGGTCTATGTGCCGCAACCTGTCCAGCTTTTGCTAGCTGGCATTGGTGCTCTCTTCCTTACCTCCAAGGCACTGAGCTATGTCAAGTTCGTCCTTGGTGTCTTCTTGCTTAGTGGCACCAGCGTATGCGCTCCCGAGCTTTCCACCCTACTAAAGACGCCCAAACATTGACAACAGAGTCGCACAGCTCCGCAAGTATGGCAAGCCTGGCACCTGGGCCGTCGTGACCGGTGCATCAGACGGTCTCGGCAAGGAGTTCGCCCATCAGCTCGCCAGCAAGGGCTTCAACCTCGTCCTCGTCTCCCGAACTCAGTCGAAGCTCGAGACCCTCGCCCACGAGCTCGAGGCCAAGTTCGACGGCAAGATCCAGGTCAAGATCCTCGCCATGGACTTCTCCCGCGACGACAACAACGACTACGACAGACTCGCCCAGCTCGTCAACGGCCTCGACGTCGGTGTCCTCATCAACAACGTCGGCCAGAGTCACAGCATCCCTGTTCCCTTCCTCGAGACCGCCCGCAGCGAGCTCCAGAACATTGTCGCCATCAACTGCCTCGGCACCTTGAAGACCACCCAAGTCGTCGCCCCCATCATGCAGCAGCGCAAGCGCGGTCTCATTCTCACCATGGGCTCCTTTGCCGGCTGGATGCCTACCCCTTACCTGGCTACGTACTCTGGCAGCAAGGCCTTCCTGCAGCACTGGAGCAGCTCTCTCGCGGCTGAGCTGAAGCCCCAGGGTATCGATGTCGAGCTTGTTCTCAGCTACCTCATCACCACCGCCATGAGCAAGGTCCGCCGCTCGAGCGTCATGATCCCTACCCCCAAGAACTTTGTCCGTGCCACTCTCAGCAAGATTGGCTCTGGCAGCTACCAGAACTTTGCCTACACCTACACTCCCTGGTGGACGCACGCCATGATGCTGTGGGCTGTGGAGAGCACTATTGGCGCTGCTCACTACCTGGCTCTCTGGTTCAACCTCAAGATGCACGTTGACATCCGTAACCGTGCTCTCAGAAAGGCGGTTCGCGAGGCCAAGAAGCAGTAAATTGAGTAGAAAGAAGCATCTGTAGTGATTACGTCGCGCAGTGTGATACACCACTGCTTTGAGAGCTGCTCAAACTGCTGTTTTGACAGGGGCTTGAAACGAAATGCATAGACGAGCTTCAATGTGATATCTCGAGAGCTATGAGGGATGGACAAAGAAGGGATACGTGGATGATGGGTGGATAGCAGTGGTTTGGGCTCAGGGCGTAGAAGCCATTTGCATGAGTTACCTTACGTAGGGATCACGGCGCGGGAAAAGTCAGGACTTCAAACGGAATAGAACCAAAAAGCGAATACTTAATCTGAAAGAAAGCAAGAAAATACCCTCTGAGAAGAAATAGCTCTAAATCAACCAAAGTACCCGACTTTAAACTATCGGAGCTACTGCAAGCGCAAGCTTCAAGTGGTGCAAACGTCAGGGTCAGCCTTGTGTCCCAATCTGGCTTAGCGCGGCTCCAGGCGCGAAAATTCCAAGCGTCTGGCGGCCCCAGCCTCTTGAGCTCCTCCAGAAATTGTTTACTGCTGCGTTTTACTGCCCTCGCCCGGATTCACCTTCACCTTTCCACACCGAGCCATCGAAGCTCTAATTCCTTCCATTCTCTTTGTCCGGCACGAGCTGCGCAACGCTCCGCATCGCATACACCTAGAAGAATATTTTCCACTTCTCGAATCCTCCAATTGACAGGATCACACCTGCCATCACCCGTTGATGATTCGGTAGCGCGACGTCCAACCGCCTTCACTGGCCGCCAGTTTGCGACGCGTTTGCCCGCCTTTCACTACCCCGATCGATCGAACTACTCGACGACAACATGTCCTACCCTCAGATGACGCCGATGCGGCCGGTGCCAGGCGCCTTCCTCAACACGCCCGCAGCCTCGAGATTCGCCAACGACAACGAGCCGGTTAGACGACGACTTTTTGCAGAGGGCGACGCACCTTCAGGCGGCAGCGGCGCGCTGGTGGCAGGATCAAATTTGGCACCCGCGACGATTGCATCAACCAGCACGAGTGGAGGATTGGTATCGACCTCATCTACGCAAGCTCCCCAGCAGAACCTCCCGCCTGTCACGAGAGCAGCACTGGCGGTCAACCAGTTCCTCCAGTCCGACGAGAACTACCCCGAGCTCGATTCCTACTGCAGGCGTAAGTCCACTGCCCTCGCCTTTGTCTGATTTTCATGCGACGGCCACTGACGTCCGCATAGCAGGAGCGTCGTCAGACTATGACTTCAACACGCTCGACTCGCCCTGGGCGCCCTTCCACAAGACCCAGATGTACCCGATCCCGAACCAGGTCTTCAGCCACTACAACACCGGCCAGCTCCAGACATTGATGGGCTTGTTCGCCGAGATCAACCATGCCTGGGTGGTCATCGACAACTCGCTGTTCCTTTGGGACTACACCCACCCCGATCCCGAACTCATTGGCTTCGAAGACCAACCGCACACGATTCACGCCGTCGCTCTCGTTTCACCCAAGCCTGGCATTTTTGTCAACACCATTACGCACATTCTAGTCGTTGCGACATCCTCCGAGATGATTCTACTCGGTCTTTCTGCCGAGACCACGCCATCGGGGACTAAGACGGTTTCGCTTTATAGCACCAAGCTTAACCTCCCTCTCCGAGGCACCGATGTGAGAGTTATTGCTGGCACTGCGGACGGCCGCATTTTCTTTGGAGGCAGCAACGATACCGATATCCACGAGCTTTACTACCAGCAGGAGGAGAAATGGTTTTCGAACAGATGCGGCAAGATTAACCACACTAACCCAGGCTGGTCTTCAGTCGTCACTCTCCAGAGCGGCTTCTGGGCGCAAAAGTCTCCGGAAGGTCTTCAGAGCATTGTTATTGACGATTCCCGGAAGCTCGTCTACACACTCTCGACAAGATCCACCATTCGTACGTACCACATGGATGGGCCTAACAAGCTTACCAAGGTGATCGAAAAGGAGCGCAACGCCTGTCTACGCGACATTACCCACATGATTACCCAATCCCCTCTTCTCAACGACCGAACCGCCTTTGTTGCCATCAGCGCCATCCCCTCACGAGAGGCGTCGAAACTGCACCTCATGGCTCTCACCAACACCGGTTGCCGTCTGTTCCTCAGCGCTACAAGCTCTGCCTCGTACATGATTGGCGGCGTTTCTTCAAACACACCTCCTCAAAGCATGCAGGTTCAGTTCATCAAATTCCCGCCCTCCGACAAGCCTGGACGATCCGGTACCAACAGCGCGGGTGATGCCGTTATCGATCTTGGCTCAAGGGCACTGGAATTGAGCAGGCTCGGAGCTCGATTTGCGCCGGGCTACTTTTTGGATTTCGTCGTTAAGGACAACGATCCGAACATCGATCTGCTCTTTGTTTCTGCTCCCGAGACTGGCCGAATCAAGGCCAACTCATCCTCCGCTGCGCTGAAGTACTACGAGCACGGGAACTGGATAGATATTGGAAGCAGAGCCGAAGATGTCGGTTTGGTGACCAAGCCGTTTGCCGCAGCAAACCAGCCTGTTGGCTTCGGAAACGAACTTGCGGTTCAATTCGACCAGCCCGCCACCGAGTTTGCTGTGCTGACCAACACCGGTGTACACATCATCCGCCGGCGGCGGCTAGTAGACACTTTTGCTGCCGCCATTCGTGGTGCTGTGGGTGACGAAGGTCTGGAGCTGGAGACTCGGAAGTTCATTTCCCGGTATGGCCGCGTGGAAACAATCTCCTGCGCTCTTGCTGTGGCTTGCGGTCATGGCGGTGATGCCAGACCAGGTGCGACACGGGCGATCGATCAGGCGACAGAAGACCGCGCCAGGACCGTCTTCGTCGACTACGGTGGCCAGCCCTCTATCACGGAGGCCGATGGTACGCCTCTCAACACAACCTCCGTTCGCCTGTCTCCTAGACACGACGCTCTCAGTGTCTATCTCACCCGCCTCATTCGCACATTATGGAAGAACTACGTCGTCGCTCTCGCTGCCAGCCCAACTGGCGGTGTTGCTATCCAGTCCATGGTGCCCATCGTCAAGCTTCACTCCACTCAGGAGCAGCTGGAGCGTCTCCGTAGATTCCTTGACGCGAACAAGAGCTTCATCCAGGGCCTGTCTGGTCCTTCCGACCTCCAAAGAGTGGCCAGCAAGCAAGAGGAAGTCGCTCTCCAAGCAGAGCACCAAGCTCTGCATGCGCTTCAGAAGCTGATGGAAAGCATCTCCGAGGGTATCTCGTTCGTCTTGATGCTCTTTGATGAGCGCGTCAGCGACATCTTTACGAGACTGGATGCGACAGCCCAGCAAGGACTGAAAAGTCTCACATACGAGAGCCTGTTCTCGCAGTCTTCAGGCAAGGATCTTGCCAAACTGCTGGTGAAGTCCATCGTGAATCGCAACATCGAGAGCGGCTCCAATGTTGAGACGGTTGCGGATGCCCTTCGCAGACGCTGTGGCAGTTTCTGCAGTCCTGATGACGTCGTCATCTTCAAGGCTCAGGAGCAGCTGAAGAGAGCGTCTGAGCAGCCGGCCAACAGCAACCAGTCTCGCGCACTTCTGCATGAGAGTTTGAGGCTCTTCGAGCGCGTCGCTGGTGCTCTTTCATTCGCCAATCTACACAACGCCGTGTCCCAGTACATCGACCTAAAGTACTACGCTGGTGCAATCCAGCTCTGCCTCACAGTTGCCCGTGAGAAGGATAGAGGCAACACTGCTCTGTCATGGGTCCATGATGGCAAGCCTGCGAATGACCCTCGGGCTAACGCCTTCTCGGAGCGCAGGAAATGCTACGAGCTCATACACGAGACTCTTCAGCACCTGGATGCCGCGTCAAGCAGAGAACCGGAGACTATTGACGGTAGACTCACTCTGATGGGCACAAAACGCCTCGAGGCCTACAGCGTAGTGAACGACTCGGACGACGAGGTCTTCCACTTCGACCTCTACGAGTGGTACATCGAACAGGGATGGACTGATAGAATCCTCGCTATCGAATCACCACACGTTATCACATACCTTCAGAGCCTGGCGAGGAGCAACGTGAACCATGCCGATCTTCTCTGCAGGTTCTACACCCAACGCGAGCGGTACTTTGAGGCTGCTCAGGTCCAAAATGATCTCGCCCAATCAGACTTTGCCATTGGCATCAAGGACCGAATCACCCTCCTGAGCAAGGCCAAGGCGAATGCCAGTGTCGCTACGGCCGGTGTTGGCAGGCAGCAGCAGCAGGTCCTGGCTCACGAAGTCAGTGAGCTTCTTGACATTGCGAACATTCAGGACGACTTGTTGGAGAGGCTCAAGGCTGACAGCCGTGTTGACCCTGATCGCAAGGCTCAAATCGAGGAAGCGTTGGATGGCCAGGTGATAAGCTTATCAGACGTGAGTAACCCAGTGACGTGTTCCGTCTTTCATGAGGCTAACTTTGAATAGCTGTTCAACCAATATGCTGACCAAGCGAATTACTACGATCTCTGCCTCCTCATCTACCACAGTGCTGATTACCGCAACCCAAGCACAATTTCCCAGACATGGGTCAGTCTCATCGACCAAATCCACGAGGAGGCTGTCGAGCGGATGGAGGAAGCTGGTCCTGGCATCCCTGTTCTGCCCTCCCCCTACGAATCCGTGTCGGTCAAGGTGCAGAACATCGCTCACCGCACTTCCCTGGATAGCTTCATCTTCCCGGTGCCAGTGTTGCTTCCCGAGATCTGCCGGTATGCCGTCGAATACCATCAAGATGCTGAGATTGGTGCCGATCCCACCTGGCCTGTGCAACTTTTCCTCAGCCTCGGTGTATCCAATGACATGGTCACTCGCGTTCTCGAGAGCGTTTTTGATACCCAAGACTATGGCTTCAGTGGTAACAACCGCAACCGCATCATTGAGCTTATTGTTTTCTCTGTTGATGTTTGGCAACGCGAGGTCAAGCGTCGTGGTGCTGCCTCGATGAAGGGCGATGGCGCTCTTGGTGCGTGGGTTAAGGACCTGCTTAGCAGATGCGAGGCATCGCTGCCACCTGCTGGCCACGGGTCGAACCCCGGTGGAATGGATTTGTCAGAAGTGCGGAGACGTTTGCGGACGGTGAAGAGAGATGTCGATGGCCTCGTTGAGAGAGGTCCCTCTGGAAGCTTGCGCTTCCTGTAATGTCTGGAACTTTATTGGCGTGATGGTGGGGAATGGCGGAAGGGAGTTTCTCCGAAAAAAGCAGAGAGAAGAAACACAAACTAGACAAAGACTGAACTACGGACTTGGGCTCTCAGAGTGAGCCATGGAAAGTGTACAAAGAAGACGCGAAAAGAAACCTTGTATTTGATGCGGACGGGGGTTTTGGGCCGGGGCGCGGCTGGGTAGGCGGTGTAGGCTTAGGCTTAGGCTTTGGATGTCTAGTTGGTGTTATTATATGAACACTTTTTCCAGCACTTGAGAGAGGCTGATATGGCTACGACTTGAAATAGCTATGATAATGCGATTTGCGAGCATACTTATGAAAAGCCTTGGGAGTGGAGGGGACTGTGGTGAGATGGAGGGACAGGGCACTGTAGTTCGCGTGTGGTTGTATCTCTTGCCGCTCGACGACGTGCCAAGATCAACGCCAGTTGATGAGCTTGCTCCTACACACGCCTTTCGCCATCAATTCAATTTAATATGCGTGTCGTCGACTTGAGTCGCGTTGGTCGAGCGAGATTGAGCGAGATTGAACCTACCGGCGACTTATCGGAAACTTCCCCGGTCTCATTCCCAACCCACCAAGTGAGATCCTGCTGACTTATATCGCCGGGGCATCGAGCTATATCATCAGGCAGGTCTCTTTTGAATCCTGAAAGTCCAAAACTTCACCCACATTGTCCAGGTTTTCCATCACTTTGGCGTACTTTGGGTTTCTCACACATTCACATATCATTTTTGTTCATACCCCGAAAACACACTGTCCTGTCACTAATGCACAATGGCTACTCCCACAGCCGAGTCTGCAGGCCCCATGGCACCCACCTTCCGCTCCATGGACAAGACCATTGGCGCACACTGGGAGAAGACCATGATTGAGATGAGCCGGACGATGATGGTGCCCCTCAACGCGCGGCTCCTCGCGCAGATGGGGTTGGGTCAGCACACCACGGAGCCCATTGCGTTTCTAGACAGCGCGTGTGGGGCTGGACCGGCGACGCAGGAACTGTTCAAAGCTGTGCCCAGAGAGGTGCTGGAGAAGAGCGAGGTTGTTTGTGCTGATGGGTCGCCTATGATGGCTGAGTTGGTGGAGAGGAGGATTCGGGAGGAGGGGTGGGTTGGGGCGAGGGCGAGGGTTTCGGATGCTATGGTGAGCTATCTGTCTCCTCCTTTACGCCTTTGTCCTGGGAGGTGTAGTATGATGGTTTATTGCTGATACACTGTTGGGATAGGACTCTGGATTAGCTGAGAACTCGTTGACGCACGTCGTCATCGGCCTCGGTCTACTCATCCCCCGCCCAGATAAAACCACTAAAGACGTCGTCAGGATCCTCGAACCCGGCGGTGTATTCGGCTGTATCACACCACACGTCAACCACATAGGCTGGGTCGCGGACGTCATGTCAGCATTCGCTTCCTTCCCCTTCCACGCGCCGTTCGAGGAGATGAATCGGGCCCAGGTTCACGATGTCGGGCGGTGGTACGATGAGGCTTGGGTGCGGGGGTATCTACAGGAGAACGGGTTTGAGGACGTCAAGACATGTTTGGAGAGCGGGACAGTGAGAGTGAGGGATGCGAGGCACTGGTTGGATGTTTTTGGGCCGGTGATTGCGTTGATTGTGAGTACGGAGTGGAGTATAGAGGTGAGGGAGGAGCATGGGTTGGAGGAGGTGAGGGGGTTGATTGGAGAGCATCTAGAGGGGAAGTATGGGGGGAAAGGGTGGGATGTTGGATTTGCTTGTATTGTTGCTTCTGGGGTTGTTGTGAAGTAGGAATGAGGGTGTCCGGAAGAAGAGACTTTGACATTTGTTGGTCTGGGTAGCTGAGGGTCTGTAGACGGATTGTTGCCAGAAGCAGGTTGGAAGAGAAATTTGAGTACAAAACGGGCCTTCAGAGCTGAACTCACGTGGCCATCTGGGGTTTTGTCTCAGAAGCAGCCTTGACGAAAACAGGTCGTAGCGTGCGATTTGTCTCTAACCCAAACAAAGTTTCTTCTTAGATATGTTATCTTGGCTGAAGCAGGGTTGCGGGTTCGATTCATCATTCGCTGATACACGATCTTGGTCATTTTGGCCGTGGTACCCTCGTGTAGTACAGGAGCCGCATCTGGCTCGGTTAGCCGGCGAGGGGAGAACTCTGTCAAAGGGACTATATCTTTGGTTCATTGATGACTGGTGTCTTGTGCTCTCCGAACACCATCGAGTCGGGCAATTGTATACCGGTGGGAGAGAGCAATCTGACTCCGAAAATAGTAGACCGGAACAGCATGCCCGGGTCAGACCTTATAAGTAAAGCCATGAGAAATGATGGCGTTTTCCTCTTGGCGAGCTCACAAGTCTCAAAAATGATATCTTCATGGCACAGGGCCAAGGCGGCAGAGGAATGAACGGCTCGGCGCGTGGAAGTTGATAACGCTTCTTTTGCGGCAAGCCACAAGCTGCTCTGGCCTCTTACACTGAGTCGAGATTCACCGAGACACCCCCCTTGGCAACCTTTTGACGCCGCAAACAACCGAGAGAGTCAGGACTACATAACTGCAGTATAGATCTTGCTTGGAATTACTGCGGTCCCTATATTTTCTTCATCACGTTGCCTTTGAGCACTGGCTCCGAATATTATCAAGGTCTACCTTCAAGCTTCAACATGCCGTCACTTACACGATCCATTGGCTTGCTTGCCCTTCTCACAGCCTTCTCCCAGGCTGCACCCACGCTGGAAAGACGTACAGATGATGAGAAGAACTGCAGCAGAGTCCAAGTAGCCATCCTCGGTGCTGGCCTCGCTGGAATCACTGCTGCTCAGGCACTGGTTAGTGCGTCCATCACAAACTTCGTGATCGTGGAGTACAACAACCGGATCGGTGGACGAGTTTACAATCGCGCTTTTGGAAAGAAGCCAGGCAAAAATGAGTCCTATTTTGTAGAGCTCGGTGCCAACTGGTATGTAGTCTTGTAGTTATTCCGATATTGTTTCCACACAGCCTACTTACATCATGAACAGGGTCCAAGGAACGGAAAGTGAAACGGAGGAAAATCCCATTCTGACTATGGTCAAGAAGTACAACTTGACAAATACGCCATCCGATTTCTCCAACGTTACAGCTTTCAATGAGACCGGCCAATTGGACTACGGTAACTCAACAAATAAGTTTGAGGAGCTGAATGAGTTGTATGACAAGGCCACCAAAAAGTATCAGTACGACGCTGGCGAGATCATTCTTAAGAACCAGCAAGACCGCAGTGCCCGTTCCGGCCTCGCAATTGCTGGCTGGAAGCCGGGCAGCGACCCGCTAGCTCAAGCTGTTGAATGGTCTTCTGTCACGAAACAGGAATGGTATCAGCACTTGTCAAGCATCTTGCCACGTGCTTTCTCACGTGAATATCACACTCTCTTAGTATATAGACTGCTCTCATGTGCTCATTCTAGATGGGTTACTTCAAGCCACTTTAACCCACTTCATATGCCCATTGCTGCGTGCCATAACTCGTGACACCTTCAATAGACTTCGAATACGCCAACCGCCGGAGAAGACATCGCAGCAGTTCTCCGTGGCCAACACTAATACATCATTCCAGCGCTGGGCTAATGAAAATAACCTTGTGCACGACGCTCGAGGGTTTGGCACATTCTTCAGAGAGGAGGCGAAGTTATTCCTGGACGAGAGCACCCAGTTGAGGCTCGGTACAGTTGTACAAAACATTACCTACTCTGTCGACAACGTCACGGTACACAACGAGGACGGCACCTGCATCGTTGCCGACCACGCCATCTGCACTTTTTCGTTGGGTGTCTTGCAGAAGGAGGTGGTCAACTTTTCGCCGGAACTGCCGCTCTGGAAACGGACTGCAATTCAGTCTATGACCATGGGAACCTACACGAAAATCTTCATGCAATTCAAGCCAGAGGATATCTTCTGGGATAGGAAGACTCAGTTCTTCCTCTACGCTGATCCGGTGCAGCGGGGCTACTATCCATACTTCCAGTCCTTAGACCACAAAAAGTTTGTGAATGGCTCCGGCATCATCTTCGTCACTGTCATCGACCAACAATCTTACGCTGTGAAGGCTCAGGACTTCAACACCACCAAGAGCTAGATCATGAAAGTCTTGAAGGACATGTTCCAAAAGGAAATTCCTGAACCCGTTGACTTCTACCACCACAACTGGACTCGCGAGCCTTGGGCGTACGGATCTTACTCGAACTGGCCGCCGGCTCTGACGTTGGAGATGCACCAGAACATCCGCGCTAATATCGGCAACTTGTGGTTCGCTGGCGAGGCTACTCATCCGCAATATTTTGGGTTCTTGAAGGGTGCATACTACGAGGGGAAGAATGCGGGCGAGGCGGTTGCTGGGTGCATCAAGAACAAGGATGACTGTATCAACCTGAGGGCGGTGGCGTACGATGTGTTGAATGGAACGACCAGCACTGACAAGTACACAAAAGTCAACGGATGGAGTACTAAGACGTTTGTAAAAGAACTTGGCATAAACATCAAGAGTTGAGAGGATCGTAGGTCAGGGCTTTTCAGTTAAAGGAGGCAGGCGCAAGGTCTTTTTGGACACAACGTCGCCATACCGAAAGTACCCTGCCAGGCCTCATTGGTCGATGGAAGTCTTTCAGGATTCTAACACCTGTGGAGGTGACCAATCACAGCTGCAGTGTGTTTAAAAAGACTTCGCATGCTGAGGCGAATTAGTGTGCCTGGTCACGCAGCCTGATTTCGACCAGACGCATCGGTAGCAAGCTGCCCCTGCTAGACAGCGGCATGGCCAAATATATAAACCAAGAACAGAAGGGATTTATCGAAGTTGACACCCAATCAGTGACTCACCAACAGAGCATTGTTCCCTCGTATTCAATCATACAACCCTTTTCTCTTGCGCCCTTACCCAAGGTACCTGACTTTGACCTGTGTTCGCTGCCATCATGGACCTCGACCAAGGATTCACATACATGCGACCATCAAACACTATGCTGTAAAGCAGCAGGAATGACAAGCTGGATCTTCTCCTCACCGGTGATAGTATGAGTGATTGTACGGATTCACACATCTCACCGAGCATCCGCAACTTCCCTCCTACATACCACCCCACCGGCACCCACTGTTAGTGCCGTGCTGGGTCCGCCACCTCAACACTAACACCACCAAATACAACCCCCACGACCGGAACCCTCGCCCGCGATGGCCTCACAGCCAGCCGCGGGCCCCTCGCAGGCCCCCAGCGGTCTCTCAGCCTCTATATGTCATCCCTCGCAGACTCCTCCTCCCCCTACCTCCTTACCCCTACGACCGAGGGGCTTCACGCCCCCCCTATCCGGCCCTTGGGAAGGGGGCCACTTTCGGCCGCTACCGCCCTCTAATAGGCCCGAGAAGGCCGGGCCCTCCGAGATGAGGCCCTAGACCTCCTCACTAAAGGCCTAGATACCCTCGTTAGGACCGCCCTAGCACGACTAAAGGCTATAGCCCAGGACCTTATCAATACCTTTACCCGGTTTACTACTATAGAAATATCTAAACCCACCCTTGGCCCCGGTACAGGAAAAACGTATACTTAGATAGTTAGCGACCCTACCGCTAACGGCCCCGGCCCCAGCCCCGGCTCTAGCTCCGGCTCTAGCCCTAGGTCAAACCCAATAATAAGCCGGCGGGCTACCTGCCGTATATACCAGCTAAAACAAACCTAGGACCTCCGTGTTACGGCCAGCTAGTCGTAGTGAGGTTTGTTTGCAGAAGTTGAGGCTGCGGAACTGGTAACAGTAATAATCGAATGTAATAAACAGAACAACAACAACATCTCACCGAGCGCAATTTGGTTGATGGATCAGCAGCCTCCGATACAACCTTCCTTGGTACAGCCTCAAGTCGCGTCACTTTCAGCACCGTTTCCCACATTTGTCGAACGCCCTTACAGGCTTCGACCCGAGAGCGCTAGTGACTGGGAGACCCAAAGGGCGACTTTGCACAAGCTATACATGGAATACAACTGGAGAAAGTACAAAACTAAAGGAGTTCAACAACGTAGCCTTGATGGCAAACCTGTCGAGACTCGTAGGGGAAATTCCGCTTGCAAAAGACCACGTCGACAAAATTTCAACGACTCGCAGCCTGGAGAGAGCACTTTTCCGGTACCTACTATCAATTATCCAGTTAATCACTCCCGTACAATGGTCACTCAGGGAGCATCTGCTACTCTGATGCTATATGGGAGTGAGAGCGAGCGGTGGATTGAGGAGCTCTACGCTAGTCTCCGCGACCTGATGTGCGGAAGTGCGCGGCAAAGCCCTGTGTGGAGAGAGACGACAAGACTGGAGCAAATCGCATCGAGAAAGAGTGAAGGAATCACATCAGAATTCGAGCTAGGAATCTACTTACTTGAAGAGGGCAACGCCGCAACATCCACCATGCCGGCGCGGTCCTCCGTCAAGCATTTCGCGATCTCGACTCAGTTATTGAAGAAGAGCCATGCACGAGCTTTCAGGACCTTATGCTTCATATACCGAACCATCTGTGTCTCCGGGGCCGATACAAGGAAACCGATGCTTGTCTCTACTATATCTCCAAGCTTCTGAACATCAAGAAACAGGGCCAGCCAATTGCCCGAATAGCCAACATGATGCGTAAAATTGGTGCCAGATACCGAGACAAGCTAAGGAACTGCGTGGTACAGATGTTTGACATCGCGGCGCATCTTTTCAGAACCTTACGAAAGACAGTAGACTTGACCAGTCTTATGGCGCGAAGATGGGCATGGTTCGAGAAAGAACAGAATGATGAGCTTGAGACTGCTGAATTTTTCGATACTCACATCGCCCTATTGGAGATTTCGAGGGAATCACTGGGAGAAACTGACATGTCCATAATTTACCAGGAGTATGCCCATACATTCGAGTTGTTAAACCGTTCGACTTCAAACGACCAAGGACTGCTACAGCGCAATGAGCGGCTGCTTGCGAAACTCAGAGTACCACACCCGTCATCTGACGAGTTGTACGACATTTGGACGAAAGCAGCTCGTATTGCGATACTTCAGCATTTAGCCAACGGTCATTTGGTACAGAGCACAGAATCTAGGATCAATCACCTGGAAGAGGTGATTAGATTGAAAGAGTATCTTGCATATGAGAGGGCAGAACTCGATACGAATTTTGCAGTTGAAGCAATAATTCTTCGGAGGAGGCTAGCAGGCATACTGGCACATCAGGGTCAGACCGAGAGGGCTGCGGAAATCCTGTCGGTTGGAGAGACCTCAAACTATCTGGTAACAACGTTGAGGAGTGATCTCGAATGCAATGCAGAAACGATCGAGTCTTGGAACTCACTCAGTAAGCTGAAAGAGGAGAGTTTCAAAGGTCTCGAGTAAACAGTAAACTAGAGCAGGTCATTGGTAAAGGACGACTGAGACATTTATTCTTATCATTATTTGTTTGATGGCATGAAGAAGTCAGTTTTAACAAAGTAGCGGAGGACACGATAATACTAAATCAAATTAACTTATTTCGACTGCGACCGTACCCTGATGATGATGATGATGATGATGATGATGTATTTAACGTCTGGTAATAAAAGGACGTGCCGGGCGCTATACCGATATGGTCTATGCTAATCTAAACTATGTTACAGGCTACCGTCTTCACCTAACGTTCCTGTTCAATGACTCGGGCAAATTTCGGAAAAGAAATTGGTCTCCTCTATTTATTTGCATAGAAGAGAGGCTCCCTTAGCAGAACCTAACAAGAAATCAATGCTTGCTTTGGCTATACGTTGGCGGAGGTAGCGCGGTGTAGCCTTGCGTCCACGCTTGCAGAAGTAGAAATGGACTAGTATCTTGGGTTTCCCACAGCTGCAGTTGAGCAACGCATCTTGATGAGCGAATCTCTCGTGGTATGCTGCAAAGTCTCCATGATGGGATCTTACTACGTATAGCCTTCCTAGTAAGTGCCGAGGGAGGCGGAGTTCGGGCGGCTTGGGGTGAAGAATTATCTCGAGGTCGGTATATTGCCGAGAGCATTGGGACAGCCATTTTCTAGCAAAGGCTTGGAAGGTAGCTACTTTAGCTTGCCTTTCTAGGTGCGCTAATGAGGGCTGTGGTTGTGATTTTGGGATTAGTTTGCAGGCTTCCTTGGCTAGAGCATCCGCTTCTTTATTTCCTGGTACTCCCGTGTGCCCAGGGCACCACCAAATATAAACCCTGCCGGGGGTTGTCCAGCTCTCTCTTTGTCTCCGAGTCCAGGAGGAAGAGAGCCTATTGAAGGCCCTAAATCTAGCCTGGCTACTTCCTGTGCTCTGGGAGTATAGTCTAGCCGCGACTGCGAGGTTGTCGAGGCAGATGTGGACGTTATCTACCATACGAGCCGTAGGAGCCCGGGTGGCTTCCATCAGGCCGTGATACGCAGCATGTGCCTCCGCGTCATACACCTTAGTTTAGGAGCCGAGTAGTTCGGATCCGCGGAAGATCTGCCGTGTAGCTTGGTACCCTACCTAGCCTTCTCCGGCGGAGGTGCTGCTGCCGTCCGATATCTGGGACCCGTCAGTATAGACAACAATGTCCCGCTTGGAGAAAGTTGCTATCCTGCCTGCAAAGGAGAGGGCCTGTTCTTCTTTGGTCTTATTAGGTTCGTAGCCGACCCTGGCGAGGGCTGTCTGCCAGTCCGCTAGTTGCTCCCAAGGGGGAGTTCTATCGGATCGATGTATTCGGTATTTTTGCTTACGAGGCTTGCCATTCGTCGTAGCCGTGAGTCTGGTCCTGATTTGTCCCTGAGTCTCGTTCGGAGAGGGTGTCGCTCGTCCAGACGATGGATTCTGGTGGACGCTGTGTGGAGCTTCGCGTCCAGTATCACCTCTGCTGGGGGTAGAGCCGCCTCGCGCTGTAGGATCGGTACAGGCGTAGTTCTGTATACGGGGACCATCGCTCTGATGGCTTTGGTTTGCGTCGCGTCTAGTTGGTGTAGCAGACTACTAACCCCGTTTAAGATAGTGCGTCCATTCTTTATCCGGCTCTTGCCGGGCCACCATGCTTCAGATGCATAACTAGTACTAAGTAGGTAATATACACGAGGTAATCGCTCGACGAAGTAAGTACGTAGGCGCGCCCCAGACAGTGTTCCCTAGTCCCTATAGTCCATTAACTACTTAGTATGCTTTTATAGAGAGGTTTCTTACGTAACTCTTGAATGTAAGTTTATGGTCGAAGTGAACGCCGAGCCAGCGTAGAGAAGAGCCTTCTTTAATAGCCTGAACTATATAATACCTCCCATCCGGCAAACCTACTGTGATTAATAGGTTTCTATCTTTTTGTCTCTTAGTGAAGTAGATTAGTTCGGACTTATCGAGGTTAAAAGTGATTCCTTCCGTCGCGCCCTATCCTAAGGTTTCTTTCCATTCCTTAGTTAGGATGTCATAGTTATTCTTTAGTAATATTGAGCTTACTAAGATAGCGACGTTATCGGTATAGCCGAAACGAGATCGCTTCTTTCCTAGGCGAGCTATACCTAGCTTAAAAAGAGGTTTAATATAGAGTATAAATAGAATAGGAGACACGGGTAAGCCTTATAGTAGTCCGTATTCGAGACCGAAGACGTCTCCTACCTCCCCATCAAGCCTTATTCTTGCTCTCCTTCCAGTAACAAAACTTAAGACCTAGCGTACGAGGTTCTCCGGCCATCCTTATTTATAAAGGCGTCGGACCAGTCGTCCTAGGAGCACGGCGTCGAAAGCCCCTTTTATATCGAGCATAAGCATAAAGGTAACCAGGCCTCTTTGCCAGGCGCACTCGATATCGTGGATAGCCGCTGCAATAAGGTCGCTACAAGAGCGAAGAGGGAGTGCTCCAAACTATTAATCGTGCAGAATACGATATTTAACTACGATCTAGGCAAGTCGTCTAGCGATGAGTCTCTCTAAGCCTTTTCCGAGGACGGCCAAGAGCGTAATTGGCCTATAGGAGCGCGGGAGTGTTTTGTCTCTTTTTCCCGGTTTTGCTAGGATCACGAGAGTTGCTTCTTTAAAACAAGTAGGATGCCAACCTTTGCGTATATACCCGCTATAAAGTGAGAGGACAATATCCTCGATAACTAGCCATACTATTTTCAAAGTAATCATAGTGATTCCGTCGGTCCTAGGAGTCGTGTTTCCTGCGGTAAGAACTGAAGACCGTACCTCGTCCTTCGTAACCTGCGGGAAAGGAAGCGTAGCTTGCCTTTGTAAGACTGGGCTTTCTATTAGTATATCCTCGGAGATTGCAGCGTTTCTAAGGAGGACGCGGGTAAATAAGTCGCGCTTCTCTTTTGGTTATGAGACAAGTGTGTCTTGGTTATCTATGTCTCGGAGTGGCGGGGTCTAAAAGGATCCTGTGGCTTTATACTAACCGACTATTTCAAATATATCTTTGCTTAAGGAGGCTAAGGAGATCTTATCTTTCCAAAAGGCATCCTTGGAGCGTTTAAACTTGTAGAGGAAGTCCTGTTTTAGAGCTTTGACCTCCTCTTCTTCCCATCAGTAGTTCACTCCGGCTACGCAGAGTCTTACTAACATCGCTCGCTTACTCGCATAGGCTCGGTGTTTACGTATGCACCTTTCGCTCCAGTATGGTCTCCCTATACCTTTCCCGAGCGTGCGCTTTGTGGAAGCCGTAAGTGCTTCAATAAGACAGTCCGTAAGCTGTTGTACTAGGAGATTTAAAGACTGTGGGTCTTGGATGTTGCTTGTAGTGCGGCGCATGGGTTGTAAGTTGCGTTTAATGATGCCGAGGAAAAGCTCCTCGTCCATCGTGTCGAGCCGAAACCTTCCCGGGGTCTGGCTGGGTGAATCGATCAGGGCCAAGGGGACCCGGGTAAGCAGAGATTCGTAGTCTAATATCGTATGTAGCGACGTTTCTATGCTAGTGGAGGCCCCATGGAGGTTACTGGACGCCCAGCATAAATCTAGGGTGTTACCGCCTTTGTATGTGGGTTCACCTATAGGTGACATTAGGATAAGGCTGGCGGCTTCTGCCTATTCTACTAGGTTTTCAGCGTCCGGGGAACTCGTAGCCTCGGGCTGCCACGTCTAATAGTGTAAGTTAAAATCCCCCGCAATCAATACTCGATCCTTAGGTTTAGGTTACCAGGCCGCTAGGATGTCCCTGAGAGCCTGGCCAGATCGCAGAGAGCCACGAGGGGCGTTATATACGTTAATGACTATAAGGACCTCCTTCGTTCCCGAGAGGAGTCGTAAGAAGAGCAGGTCTGTAGATAGATCGGGTAGAGGCCGTATTTATACGCCTCGTACCCCAGTTCCTCTACGGAGGTAGGTAAGTACCCTAGGACGGTCTTCGGTCCAGTTATCCACTAGGGTAAAAGTCTCAAAACCTAGGTAGTGTCTTATAAGCCTCCTCTCCTCCGAACGGATAGACGGCTCTTATATTAAGAGTATATCGATCTAGGCTACGTAAGCCAGGTTCAGTACTGTTTCGTAGGCGGATACCCGCCTACCTATTTTCGCTTGCATAATTTACAGGGTTTTAGAGGGCTATATTCTTTTTTTATATCTTATTCGCCGGGGTACAGTCCATTACTTATTCTTCTTTACGTGAATGTCGATGCGACTGCTGGGTCGCATTTCTCCATAATCTTTCTCCCTCAGCTCGGATGGCCCGTAGCTGAGCCTTATCCCTCCTCTGGACTACCCCCTTCACCACTTTAGGTTGGATAGGGCAAGTCGCATCGAAGGCGGCGTGAGGCCCGTTACACGACGAGCATTTAAAAGGGCAGTCGCAGCCATCGTGACCCTCAGTGCCGCCACAGGGTGCCCGGTGTTGATCAGTTGTGTGGGAAGGAGAGCTGCACTTGAGGCATCTCTTCCTTCTGGTGCACGTTCGTTCGCTATGAAAACCGCCGCAGCGGAGACATTAAAGAGACCTCTTCTCCTTCAGGAACTACAGGTTTACAAAAACGCTGGCCCCCATCAAACGGAGGCGTCTTAGTAGTTACCTTACGGCTTCCGCCTTAAACCAGGCTATCACCGTGCCTAGCCTTTCGACTTCGTCCTTCCTAGAGAAGTATGCTTTTTCAGGCTTGAGTTTCGTCAAGACCTGGATCTCTTCAAGGAGCTCCTCGGTCGTGATTTCCAGCTCAGTATTGGTTACCAGACAATGCCTAGTATAAAGGACGTTTACGATATAGGCTCGGATCCAGGTATCGCATTACTCGATCGCTTACGCTTAGAGAAAGGCAGCGATCTATTCTCTATTCTCTAGCAGGACTTTTATACTATCCATTAACGAAGGTAAGAGTACTAATCCTATCTTAACATGGTCGATCCCCTTGAGGGCTTCTCGGGCTTAGGGACTTAGCCTTTCCCGAACAAAGATATATATATCGTAAGCTTTCTCGTTCCGAAGCGGGCTTTCAGGCGATAGACGCGCAAAGACGCATAGATCCTTTAAGGCCGCCCGGTTTGTAGCTTATTTTGCGGCTTATTTAGCTGGCGTTAGTTCATCCTGTCTTCTAGACAGTAGCTAGCTCGCCGCCGCCGCATATAAACGGACTAGGGGCGGCTAGTTCTGGGTTGTGTACGAGGGATGCCCCTGGGAACTCAGGTCAGTCTCGCTAGGCCCTGTGCCAATAGCGTGCATAGACCTTGCTAGACCACGTTGATGCCGGTTTGAACGCTGTTTCTCCTCCTGAAGCTCTCTCTCCAAGAATTCGATCTTCGTCAAACAGTCTTTCAAAAACTGTTCCCTCTCGGCGTCCCGACGTAGGAGGTCCTGGACCAGATTCGAAAGCTTCGTCTTTGAGCTCAGAATTGTCCTGGTGGTTGACCTGCTCAACCACTCTGACCTTTGCAGTCGGCTTCCGGACTCGTCCCGACCGCCGAGATATACCGGCATCCCCGTGAACCGTGATCGATAGCCCTACATCTAGGGAGACCGCCATGGTCGTGGAATTCAGCTCGTATGGGCTGATGTTGAGAGATGATAGTGCAGTGGGCCGTAGCCCTCTATAACCTTAACAATTACTAAGAGTGGGTACCTTTCGAGGTATGTGTTCAGAAGTTGCGACCGTACCCTTGTCACGGGACAGGGATAACAACGTCACTCTCCGAAATACCTGTCACGTGTGTAAGCACATGATATTTCCATTTCCTCTTCACAGACCCTTCTGTTTCCTCTGCTCTGTTTGGGTCAATTTAAGCCACTTCAACCCACGTTATATGGCCATTTCTACATGCCATAATTTAGTGACAGCTCTGCAGGTGGCCAGGATGTTGATGTTCAAGCTCAAGAGCCTTCGTCCGAGGGATACCTTACATGACTGTGATTGATGGAAGGTGGATCTCCTTATCTTATCGGAATCCGGGCGCAGCACGGAGCTTCGGCGACAGCTGTCAAATTGATTAGAGAACTCCTCCAGCCAGTCGAACTCTGGGGAAAGCTGGCCCGGAATAGCTCCAACCCCCGTCGCGCGTCCCTCCGAGTCAAGGCAATGCCCCGGCCGAGCTGCTAGGACCCTTTTCCCATCCTGTCGCTTGCACGATCACCGACTATTCCATCCGCGCACACACATAATGGCGTCCCTCGCGCGATTACTCTTGGGCGCTGTCGCTCTCTGCGCTTATGGCGTCCGCGCTGCACATCCAGAAGATGGCCTCCCTTCGTACCACTATGGCGCACCCATCCACGTGGAGTGCATGAACCGCAGCTCGTGAGTTTCTACCCATTCTTTCCGCTGCTCATGCCCTCTAGCAGTTTGATCTCCGCCCAGACTACCTCCAGCTTACACCTCTCCAGCGAAACAGGCGAACACATTGAAGATTCCAACCACGAAATCGAATGGATTCCCTTCCCCTCCTGCGAAGAAACCAACAAGCCCCTCGAGTTCAATTATGGCCACGAAGGGGAGGTCAACTGCACCATCCCCATGGTCTCTGACCCTTTCTTTCACCTCCTCGAGTTCTTCATCCACAACGACGCACCCCTCGCTTGCCGCCTCCCTGCCCGACCCGCGCCCCACGTCGAGACTGTCGGCGAGAAGCCCTACGTGCAAGAATACATCCCTCTCGTCTTCGCCCTCGCCGGCACACTCCAGCTGAGCCACCTGCACATCAGCACGCACATGAATGTGCTCCTGCACAGCATGCCGAAGCACCATACTCGACCCCACGACTCGGGCGTCCTTGATTCCGGAACGGCGTACAGCACGAGTCCCTTGAGCCATATGGACGGGATATACACAAAGAGGCTGGTGATTGGCGACCCGTTGCCGCTGCGGTTGTCTGTCAGGTGGTTTCCGACCCCGAACCTGCCCAAGTCGGAGGGCCATGTGGAGTGGCAGGGCATGGGCGGACACGTGTATGCAAGCACCGTCTTCTACATCATCACCTCCTTCATGGCGGGCGTGCTCGTTGCGTCGACATACTTTTTCGGAGTCGTCCTGCCCAAGAGGGTACGCGGGAGGGGCATGGGCGGCGCGACGCCACTCGGCTACGGTCTCAACGGTCTCAACAGCGTTGGTAACGGTTGGGGTTACTCCAAAGCGGCCAAGAGAATGGATTGAAAGAAAGCACCAAAAAAGTTTTCGCGTCACGAGAAATCTGTACGATTTGATCCGATTCATGTAAATCTGCTAGCCGCCGCCCCCTTGAGAGGCTTTTATGATGGATGATGGGAGTTTTATTTTGATGGACGAATTAAACTGGGATGGCCTTGACCTGTACACATGGACTGGGGAATAGGAGTTTTGGAATCGATCATCTGGATCCGCGCACGCGCGGTCTGACAGGAGCAGGATTTGTAGCGATATCTTAATGGAACCAATACCTGCTTCGACAAGACCGAGTAGTCCCCTTTACTGCAACTTCTTGGTGTTGTCCACGGCGTTCACCCGCTTCAGGATGCGCAGCCACATGTCCAGTCCCATCAACGCCGCTTTGCAGGTCAGTTTAACTCAGAACATCCGTGGCAGATATCGATTGCACTTACGGATTACCACCCACGGCCCGTAGAGGTTGAAGACAAAGAGGTTCTTCTGAGCCTGGCTGTACACTGCAGGATCCCAGTGGAAGACGTCGTACATGCAGGTCAATGTCGTCAGGGCGCACTCGACGCAGAAGACCAACACGGCAACTTCAAATCCGGGGGTCGTGCCTGTACTTCGCGAGAACCTGTAGACCATCCAGGCGGCCATGGGCAGCTGGTAGACGATCTCGATATAGGTGAAGAGCTTGAACCACGAGGGGAGGTTCTCGTGAGAGGCGGTGAAGAAGGGGTCATTGTACGTTGAGATGTAGAAGTCGCGGAGGACTTGGAGGAAGTGCAATGGCGATGAAGGGGTTGAGTAGAGAGCTGATGGGTAGAATGGGACGAGGTCGACCACTGATGAGAGGATGGTTAGCTATAGCTCAGGTGAGACGTGACGATGGACCGATGGCGCGTGAAAACTTGCGGCGACTGAGCAATCAAGATGCTCAATCACAACACCAGCACAGTCCTTCGACTATGAGTCTTCATGAAGAATTGATAGCACGTCCACAAGTCATAGCATCAATAGGCGCAAAGTGATAGATGTTGGACTCACAAAGCATGGCCGTTAACTGGATGCCAGAGATGACGAGGTACGCGCTGTCGCGCCAAGTTCTTGTTGAGGCAGACATGATGGCGGCTACAAAGTCACCCAGTGGTAACAAAGCCTGTTTAATTCGTTTAGGTGCCCCAATTGAGGAATTGCGAATGCAGTGGGTTGATGGCAGCCGCTTCACGATGAGCACGTCGCGTTGAGATGAGAAAAACACAGGGGTGAGATGGTGAACTGAATTTCACGTCAGGTCTGTGCTGACAAAGCAATCGTCCACACCATGGGTGTAAGTAAAGAGAGAGGACGTTGTCAGATGATAATTACTGAAGATCACGCTAGAGTAAGGTAGGATTCGGAGGGAAAAGCCTCAGGTCTTACAAAGAGAATGCATATTTCCAATTATCATTCTCTATTTGCATCGTGCTTGATCTTCTATCCCCGACCTTCTACAAACCCACGGGTTTTCGACAAGAAACGTTCAAGTAAGGTAGTGCACTCTATCGAGCTACTGGTGTCAAGCGCGCCTTCAAGGGACCCTTATCCCACGAAATGAAGACTTGCTGCTTCTGGGCCCAGTCTTTGTACTCCTCGTCAATCTCGACATCGAAATTCCAAATCAGGCGAGCAAGAATGAGTCTCATCTCAACATAGGCCTGACTAGGTACCTTGGTTAGCTCTCAAAACCAAAAACGTACCAAGCAAAGTCACTTACTTGCGCCCCAGGCAGTTCTTTGAGCCAATGTGGAAAGGTTGAAAAGCCTCCTTGTTGTCTGATGCGAATTCCTCGTCTCCCATGAACCTCTCGGGGTGGAAGCCGTACGGGTCTTTGAAGTACTTCTCGTTGTGGTTGATGGCCCATTGATGAATTGCCACGATGGTCTGAAAGTGATATCGTCAGTGTCTAGAGAGGGCAAAGACTGGGAGATTTAACTCACATTTTCAGGCACAAACTTGCCACAAATAGTCGCTCCGCCTTTGGGTGTGACTCTCGGGAGGCCCATAGAGACTGGAGGATATACTCTGAGTGCTTCGTCCAGGCAGGCGAGCATGTACGTCAACTTGTTGACGGAAACCAAATCAATCTCCTCTTCCGTCTTGAAAGTTGTGCGTACTTCATCCGTAAGCTTTCTCAGACAGTCCCTATTCATCAAGAGATAATAGGTGACTCCAGCTAGTAGCGTTGCTGTCGTCTCAGAACCACCGATGATAAGCGTGTTGTTGTTTGCCGCGAGTGTCTCGAACGAGATATTCTATCACCAATCGTGAGCAAAGGTCCAAAGAAAAGAAGAAAAAGCAATACTGGATGAGTCTCCTTACCAACTCGTCCTTCTTCTTTAATAAGCCCTCAATCAAGTCGGGTCTACCACCCTCCTTCTTGCCAAGCTCCATGCATGTCAAGTTGGGGTGTTGACGCAGGGTGGAAGCTCTCAGAGGCCAACTGCAGTTAGGGGTAGAATGATGAATTACTGAAATCTGCTCCTCCCCCGACGTGTACTCCCTGCGCTGTATATATATCTGAGCTGCTCCTTTGTTGCTTGGACTCCTTACTACCTCTGACTAGCCCCTATCCGGGAGGGCTCTGACACACACGGCAATTGTGATCGACGGCGAAACCTTGACTGCAATTGAGGATCCATCCGCGATTCGACTGCGTCAACTATTCGTCACAATAATGACCAAGGTCGACTCCGTTATCTGCTGCCGTGCATCTCCTGCCCAGAAAGCCCTGCTTGTTACTCAAATCGGCAAAGGCCCTCAGAAGAAGGCACACTGGTACAGTTGGCTTAGTCCGACCTCGACCACGCCCCTGACTCTTGCCATTGGCGATGGTGCCAACGATCTGGCCATGATCTCTGCAGCCAACGTCGGTGTGGGAATCTCTGGCAGAGAAGTTCAACAGGCTGTCCGTGTGGCGGACTTCAGCATCTCTCAGTTCCGGTATCTGTCTCGGCTGGTACTTGTTCATGGCTGCTGGAACTACTACCGTACGACACGATTCATTTTGGCAACGTTCTGGAAGGAGACCTTCTTCTACCTCCCGCAGGCACTTTTCCAAGAGCAGACCGGAGCCACGGGTACAAGTTTGTACGAACCAGGAAGTCTCACTTTTGTCAGTTTCTTCACCGCAGCATGCATCCTCGTCATTGGGACTTTTGAGCAGGATCTCCACTCGCGCACTCTGACGGTGGTTCCTGAGCTGTTCAAATACGGACAGAACGCCGAGGGTCTCAACATGTCGGTGTATTTCAGTTGGTTCAGCAACGCACTGGTTGCGGGACTCATCGTCTACGCCGGTGCTTGGGCGGGTTACATGGACTCTGAGATGATCGACGTTGACGGGTGGTATGCCCAAGGACTATTGACCTTCGTCTTGTGTGGAATTTGGGTCAACATCAAGCTATTGTGAGTACATCTGGCAACTAGCCTTAGATTTGACTCTAAAATTACTAACTCGAACCAGGGTAATTGAGCTGCACTACAAGACCAGAGTTGCTCTCTGGTCTATCCTTGGCAGTCTCGCGGTCTTGTGGGCTTATTTGCTCATTGCCGGCGCCATTTCTTCCCCCAGTTCCGCTCCTTATTCTGTTCGCGGGGGACTGAGCTTAGAGTTTGGAAGGGATCCAGCATGATGGTCCACGCTTATCATGGCACTGGCGGCATTGCTTCTGATGGAGATGGCCACGAAAGCACTGAGGCAGAGCCATGTTCTGCGAGCTTGGCTATCGAGGTGTTGGTCCTCGAGCGAAAGAGTTGATGGCAAGGGCGGGGGTGTCAGGGAGGGCTTTAATGACTGGGAGCCCCGCCTTTGGCAGGAAATGGAGAAAGACGCGAGTGTGAAGAAGGTGTTGCATGGTCTCGGCAGATGATGAGGAAATTGAGCTGGTCGCGATGTTTTCGACCTTCCAAGAAGATATAGCCTTAGATAGACTTAAATTGATTGAGGTGTCAAATATGTACTGAGCTGAAGCTTGCTAGCACTGTACCTAGCGAATCAAAGTATGTATTCCGTTTAGTTTTTCAAAATCTCCTCGTCAAGTGCACCGGCGTATCTCAACAGCCCTTGCCCATGGCGCTGACCTCGTCTTACATCCAGGCAAACATTGACGCCAATAGCGTAATAAACATTACCACGGAGCCCGCAGTCACAACAGAGGCAGCGCTTCGGCCGTTTCCATTATTGCTGTTGTTGCCGCCGTTATTTCCGCCATTGTTCCCTCCGTTGTTTCCGCCGCCATGACCGCCACCGCCTCCATTATCCTGGGCCATGTTCAACATGAAGTAGGTTCCGCCAATGGGGCGTCCGAGTCCAGCTTGTTTGCGGAACTGCGAGATCTGGTACAGTTCAGCTTAGAGTCAGGAACACCTGGATTCGGTAGGTTACTAACGTTGAAATTCTTTCGGTTCATCTTATCAACACCCATGGCGTCGAAACCCATCTTGTTCAGCTTCTCGGGCTGCATGTAGAGTAGGTAAACATATCGATGCATGCCACTTCCGGCCTTGGGCTCAGGTGCCATGTAGTCATTGAAAGCAGGAGTTGAATTCTTCATGATCATCGCTGAAGCAAGAACTTCAGATTTAGTCTGCTCAAGCGTGAAGTTGCCAGCAAGGTAATGCCTCATGTTCCGCTCGGTGGGGCTTTCGCGTGTTGGAGAGTCGGGCCCAATCTGTCCAACATCGTTAGAATAGCTTTGCAGTCCGTAGCGTGATGCACATACCATGTAAAGAACGAATCTGGAGCTCCGAGTGACGTTCCTAGCCTTCATGATGTTCTCGACGCTGAATTCGAATGGGAATTTGGTTTCCTTCATCTTGAGCTTGGTTCCAGGCATCAATAATGCCTTGTCACCATCGCTAGCTTTGTAACCGGCGTAGAAAGACACCATCGGGTCGAACGAGCCCATCACATCTGGAACAATGCCAGCTTCCATGAAAGCTTGGCGGAATTCAGTTGTGGACATGCTCCTCGGGGGCATGTCATTGTGAGCAATTGCCACAGCGGCGAGTAAGGCCGTGATGCTGATGATAGACTTCATGGTGGTCGAAGTATGGACTGTGCTTATGGTCCTGGTCCGTGGAATGAAAAGAGAATGGCAATCAGCAGAACTGGCGTCCAGCACCTGTGGGATTTTGAAGTTGAATTAGATGAGAGAATGAGGACGAATCGGGCGCTCTGGCAACTCTCACCTGGTTAGGTTGGAGCTAACGGACGTGGATGATCTTTATCCTTTGGCTAGTTTACTCTCTCCGTTGTCCAACATCCTAGCATCACGGAATCACGGGCCAAACAGTAACCCATCATACCCTGGATTCATGAATCTTCAATTGTGTGGGAAATCCAAACATGCTCTCAGATGAGACAGAAAGGTGAGGCTGTTTGGCTCATTGAGCTTCCCGATGGAGCTTTTCTCTGCCGGACGTGCGCGGGGTTCCCTTTGACTTTCCCGCACAAAGTTTCAGGACTTTGGCTGCCCCTTGCTTACGATTGGACAATTCTTTGGACGGGAAGAAACGAAGCTTTTGATGAAGCTCAAGTTGTTGTCTACATGACCCTGGGAAGATCTTCACCTTACCGTATGCCGAGTCGCAAACCTCGGAGAAAATGTCACTGGCCGACCATCAATCCCACCGGACGATCAAATGATTGCTTGGCGAACTATACCAGGCAATTATGGCACGTTCGACACAGTCTTGGAGAGGAAACGGACTAGCGACCCTGAGTCAAGGGTCGAATGAGAACAGACAGTAACCGTGTCACTACTGTGTTTCCATGCGAGCACAGGACGAACCTCATTGAGACCCTTACCCTTGAGGTGTCTGCGCACAAATTCGTGTCCATAGATTTCCTGATATTGAGATTGACAGTCAAACATGTAAACAAAGGTGAAAGATAGAATTTGAACTCAGTGCTGGACTCGGGTTCGGGATGGAAAAGTATGGTCGGCGCCGGGTCCGATTCGCATCCATATCACTCCGCTAAAAAGGTTTGACGCCGGGTTGAGCTCTCGGCCCATGATCTTGGAATGCAACAGGAAGCTATAGACCAGGTCTCCCATAGGATCGCAACCACGGCTCGGGGGACGCCGACTTAGTATGGAGGCTAATAGGCGGGAGTGTAAATGGAGCGATCATCAGTTGGGGATGATGCTGGGTGATTCCCTCCTAACCCCTCTGGGGGAGAGGGGCGTAATAAGCAAGCAAAGCCAAATCCACGTCCTCGGGTTACAGTGACATCCCATATATCCGCAGAGCCGTTCGAGTTTGTGCTGCGGTCATGGGGCAGCTTTCTCTGAGGAAAACAAGAAACGAAAGCCGAGGTGGCTGCCTCCGGATGGAAACAACATATCCGACGTATTGGATGCCAAGACCAGGAAGGTTCCGTTTCAGGTCGCCAAGAAACTTTCAGCCGATTTTGAGAAGTCTTTGATTTCAGTCCGAGACAAAAGTCGCAGGTCTACCCGATATGCAACCGAGTCATTGTGAGAAAATGGTAGGAACAACCGGATGTCCGAGTATTTCGTGAAGTCACCAGCTTATAATCAAGCTATCTAGAGATGTACACCCATAAGCAGTGTGACAGGCAATGATGAGAAGAGTTAGAGGGACCATGAGCCAGTACAAACCATCGAAAACACTAGCCAGCTTGACGTGAAGAGTTGAGTTCTCAACCTACCTATGTGTTCATGGTATCTTTACTGAGAGATTCCTACAGTACTTGAACAAGTGCCACAAGGAATGACGTCAAGTCTAAACGCTGTAAGAAGTTTACGGGGAGTAAGCATTGACTCGCATGGGTTCTCGACGCCATACGCGTTCCGAAAGGCGGAAAGCAATACCGGACGTGACAAACCGGCAGCGATTTCCGAGAGAGCCCCTCGAGCCTGCCTCGTCCCGACTTGCGCAAAGAGATAACCTTAGACTTTGCTCATAACAGAAAATTGCTCGCATTAGGAATCGCACACCGCGGAGCTGATAAGTTGTCGAGTAGCTTTCCGGTCTGGGCTATGGTTAAGCCTCCCAAGACAAGCAGACTTTCTAGCTAAAAAGTAGACGGAAGGCATAGAATATGGCCATCACTGATTTATTGGTGCACTTAGGAGCAAGCTGTATCTATCATAGAATGACGCCATGGCTGCACGATTGATTCTGGCGGGAAACTCTTGTTCTAATACGCGTTGATACTTCGAGGCGCTGGGGAATTAAGAACTGCCCCCAGTCTGTTATCCCATCGGGTGCTGATGGACAGCACTTTTGCCAAGACCCCGAAATACCCACTTTTTACCCTTCACTACCCCGCATTCCAAGGGGTACTTGACAATACGTCACTTATCCCTATGCCTTTTTGCCTATAATCACCACTATTACTACCATTTTGATTGATGCTGTAATGTCTTCTGGCGATTCTGATACCTCTATTGCATCTAATGCTTCTGTTACTTCTGTACGCAGCTGTATAGTAGTTGAGGTCCACCCAGAAGACCTTACTGCTGCCTGTAATACAGACTGTACGCCCGAGCGCTGTGACGCAGCTACAGTCCGGCCCCACGAACCTCCGGCAACTCAGCATGGTCCTCCGGGCTCCTTCCGACCCTTCAACGTGCCGGCCCGGGCCCAAGAGATACGGGGGCTGCCGGCAAGCCCGCTTGAACTGTTCCTCCAATACGTTCCGCAGAGCCTCGTAGAGCAGTGGGCCCAGTGGACGAATACAGCACCGTTGTCTAGGGAGGGCCCTAGGGCTAGACGGGCTACAGACAAAAGGAATACCTCTATTCCATGGGAACAGCATAGGAAGGGGTCACGAAAGGTATCTTCACCTTGTACCTATTGTGGAAGTAGGAGGGCTCTATGCGAGGTATCTGGGAATACCCTCATGCGGCGAAGACGGCAGACAACTCGAAAGGGCTGCTTAGACTGTGATGTACCGTTATGTATCGATAGGAATTGCTGGTACCTCTGGCATACGCAGAATATATAGGCAATAGAGGTACTATAACCCTATTGGTTAACTTAATAGAGTCTCAACACCTTATTGGCTCTACCCCGCCCTTGGCAAAAGTGCTGTCCATCAGCACCCGATGGGATAGCAGACCTTTCCCATCGCTGGAGGGTATAAGATTCGATGCCTACAAGTTTTTCCAAGGTGAATTTGCGCTGCATCTGTACTGCTCAGCATGAAGATAAACATTCAGGACATCTATTTTGCTAGGCTTTGAGAAAGCTCTGAACAAACCCCCTCAACGCACATCCGCAAGCTTTTCTCAACTTTACTGACCCTTGCCTACGTCAATCATACGACTGCTAGTTGACTGACCCCAGGCATCTTATTGATCCAAGCGTCCATCTTACCTTCGACTGCATCCACGAGCCATCGAGCTAGTGCGCCCCGTCTTAGACTTGTTGTCCACCCCTTTTCTCCTATCCATCCAGTGAACACCTGACGATTCCGGTCACGTCTCCAGCTATCCTCATCAGATTCTCCAGGGATCTGTGCTATACGAAAGATAGTCCAATCAAGATCATGACCCTCTTTGCCAAACAAGTGAGCGAGATTATGCATATTGCGGTACACAGCGCCATTCAGAAAAGGCATTATGATCGTGATCATGGTCTGAAAGAACGTCCAGCGGTCTTCGGGCTGCTTGATTCAGATCGTACCCATGGCGAGAATCCGTCTAACGCCGTGTTGTTTCATTGCTGGGAAGACGCAGTTGCGGTAGATGTCGGCGTAAAGAGAAGGGTCAATGTGCTTGTCGTTGATATTCGGCCCGAGCAGAGATACGACTACAGAAGTTCGAGCCATTGCTGAATCTAGGGCTTTCGTGTCGCTCATCTCCCCTTCGATTATCTGACAAACAAGTTAGTTTCAACGCGCTCGTACTCATGAGAGAGTCTCTAGACCCGGAACCACAACAGACCTCGAGGAGAGAGCTGGAGGCCAAGTCGTTGGGTAGTTTTGAGGGAGTTCTGGCTAGTAGGACAGTTGCATGATTGCGATGAACAAGCTCTCGCGACAGGCAAACACCCGCTGGGCCGGTTCCACCAAGAACTAGGACTTTCTTGCCTGACATTGAACATGAAATTCCGAATCGACACAACGACACTACGACACTACGATAAGTCTTCATTGAGCAGGACACTTTTTATGACCTTTTATACTGGCCAGCTGATTCCTCTTCCGCTGCCATCAAGTACATATTGCAACTATCACGACCTCAAAGTCCGTCGCTTGTTGTTGAAAGTCCGCCGTGCCTGAAGATTCCCGCGCGGGAACAGGTCTGGGCGGGAATAGTGCACTAACTAAGCGGACCCGCTATGGGCATAGTGCCCTCAGCGGATCATAGCTGACAACATCTGTCGCAAAAACGACGCCGTTAATTACGGCAACATCTGACCATGCCCGAGTCTGAGGTAAACCGCGCGGAAACATCTGAACATCGCGTGGCTCAACTCTTGGGTGCACCAAGCTCTCTCCTTCGGTTCCCGACCAAACCCCAGAGATGATGGGAACTGTGGGCAGTACACACTGCTCATCTGGATCAACGAGGCAAGCAATGAGGCAATACGACTGGTATTGTTGGTTGGTTAGTGTTGGTATCACAGGCGTGATACATTTCCTCATGAGGGTGTATCTTCGGCAACAATCACGTCGATGTCCGTGATAATTGCTGTTGTTGTTGTTCCTATTTACATTGTGGGCAGGGGCCGATCGAAGTAGGTGGGGACGGCCTGGGTGGTTGCTCCACCTTAACCGGCCGTGATGACTAAGCCGGTTGTCCCACTTCGCCCAGGGCAGACGCCAGCCAGCCCACGATACCAGCCCATTGCTCCTTATCAGCCTTGCCGTTCCGACAGTTAGTGATGATATGGTGAAGGTGAAAGGTGGCTACGGTAGGCTAGATCAACCAGGAAGTAGATCGGGCAGCTGGTGCCTAGGGCACCAGCCACTACCTCAGGTATCCACAGTCCCACAGGAACTAGCAGCACAAACTACGGAACAAACAATGCCACGAGAGACAGCAAGCTGTTGGACATGTCGCATACGCCACAAGAAATGCGACGAATCATTCCCCGCCTGCAATGTCTGCGCAGGTCTCGAGATCACCTGCTTCTCCAGCCAAGAGACCCCGGAATGGATGGATGGCAGCCCGAGACAGCAAGCAGGCTATGACTGATAAGCTCAAGGCTGAGGTTACGAAAAGCGCCAAGTTGAGGGGGGCTCGAAGGGTTGTGCAGCGTATTGTCGGAGATGCCCACGCCAATGACCTTCTGCCGCCGGTGTCAACAACTTCGGGGTCTACCGGGGTCACCACGAGATACTCTCTGAGACAAAACCCTTTAGCAACTGTTACGCAGTCCCAAATATCCCTGAGCAGTGACTTTCAGTCCCGGTCACTTCCTCATCCCAACGATGGGACACCCAATCCCGGTCCCCAGGAATCCGCTACCAGCCCGGGGAAGTCTACACCACAACTCTCAACTGAGTTGGAGCAGTGTTACATCTCAGCATATCTGGACTACATATTTCCGACATTGTTCCCCTTTTACTCTCCGTCCATCCTCGAAGGCGGTCGAAGTTGGATGCTCTTTCTTACTCTGGCCAACAAATCGCTCTCTCATGCAGCTACTAGCCTCGCTTCGCATTTCTTGGCTGTCGTACCAGTACAGCGCCGCCACTCAGAAAGACCCAAGTACGTGTCTCGAGTCTAAGCTGAACTACAAGAGTAGACGCACATCGCGATGCAAAAGGCACAACAAGACGTCAAGGAGGTCATCGGTCGGGGCGTACTCGAAGACTTGATCACCAGCATCAGACTCTACGACAGTATTGTGCATCTGCTGTACTTGGAAGTAACTTTTGGCACATCAGAGAATTGGACTATGCACTTGGGTGCGGGTATAAAGCTGTTGGAACAAATACTCCACGAGGTCGACGGCGAAGAGTTCCAAGACTCCAAATGGACCGCTACTTGCCGGAAGGTTGGCAGACTCGCTTATCCTCACATGGAAAACCCTCCACAATTTCCGGCATGGACACTTGATCAGAGCTCCTTTAGGTTCTTCACGGCTCTTCTTGTAGTCCATGACCTTGTGGCGAGCACATCCCTCGGGAAACCGCCACGGTTACAGACATACTATCAAGATATGCTTGTTGCCGAAGACAAGCCCGAAGAGATTTCGAACAGGGACTGCAGTCTTCGCTTGGATCGCTTCATTGGCTGTCAGAAGTGGGCTATGATCTTGATCGCAGAGGTGGCATCGTTAGACAGTTGGAAGAAGAATGTGCGTGAACGGGGATCTTTCTCAAATCTCGAACTGTTTAGAAGGGGCGGGGAAATCGAGATGAAGTTCAGGGAAGGCCTGGGTCGACTGAGCGCGAAAGATCCTATGGTACGAGATAAGAGACCGCCTTGGTTAGCTGACTCCCGATTAGCTGAAGAAGAATCTAAAGCAATCGTCTCGGTCACGCAGGTATGGGCTCATGCTGGACTCATTTATCTCCACGTCGTCCTCTCAGGCTGGCATCCAGACAGCATGGAGATCAGCGACTCGGTGACACAAAACCTTGAGTCGATGATGAAGCTGAGCAATCCCCGTTGGCTACATACACTCGCCTGGCCCATCTGCGTCAATGCCTGTTTGGCCAAGGAGGAACAGGAAGGCCTGGTTGGCGAAATCTTTGATTGTCGTAGGGTATATATGGCATAATTGCTGCCCGTAATTAACGGCGTCGTTTTTGCGGCATTGATCTAATGGGAGGTCTTGCGAATTTTGGTGCTGTAAGGTTGGCAAGAGAGGTGTTTGAAGCCGCCTGGCTAAGAAGGCACAACGCTATTATTGAGTCTTGGGATCTCGAGGCCTGCTTGAACGTTCTGGGTCGCCGGGTTCTTCTGGGATGAGGCCGGATCAAGCCTTCCGTAGGGTCAAATCTTGATGGGACATGGAGGCTTAGCGGCGTAAGAAATCTCGGTGCCCTGCACAATGGCGCTGAAACACCGAATTCTGCAGACGACTCGATGAGTTGATGTTGATAGACACTTGATCCCCAACTTCCTGGTTGCTGGCGATCAATACTAAACATTTTGATATTATCATTCTTGATATGGGCACCGTGGATACGCAGTTGGAAATTTAGAATACATACTACCCCCAACTATCACGCTGAGGTCGCGGTTCCGTTCCCAGATGCTTCGTACTTCAGAACGAATGGCACCGTCTTGACAACATCCCAGTCTCCTTCCTTCTCCCTATCACCAAAGATACGCAGAGCGCTGACCTTCATAGCGTAGATAGCAGGCTCAAGAACAGTGCTATCAGCAAGCAGCCCATTGAAGAAAGCATGTGTTTCGGTGCGAGGCGCATAGAGAAGAGGCCAGCCTGCCAGACTGCCTAGGTTCTCCTCCTTGCCCCCGCTAATTCTCAAGACATCGACCTGGATGGAGGCAGTGCCGACTGTGGGTGAGATGATGACGTTGGGGGTCGCCGATTGGTCTCCACGATCAGTCAGAGGTGGTTTGGCTGGGTCGGGGCGCGGGATCGTGTACGTTGTGTTTGCTGGGGCTTGGCTGTAGTAGTTGGCGAGGTATGCCTGTGCCGGTGTGATGACAGAAATGTCATGCATGCTGCCAACAACTCCGAGATAGGGCAGGCTCAAGGGAGGGGCATCGGTGGTACTGGTGAGAGCGATGTAGCCGCTGTAGACTGGTAGACGAGTAGCGTTGACGTTAGATGGGGGAATGCAGGTGACGGTAAGTTCTGCGGATCCTCCAGCGGGCACGGTGATCTTTCTGTTCATCTTGTTAGTCCAAAGGATTGAGAGATAATCGTAGGCCGTAAATGACTTACTCGGAACTGAATTGAAGCTCAGCCCACTCCTCGATGATTGGGTTGGGGAATGAGGCAGCCCTCAAGCGGTCGGTGGTCTCCACGAAGGTGTACATGGTGACGGCTTTGCGATGGCTGACTTCAAATTCAACATCCACAGATCCATGATTCTCAATGGTGAAAGTCTCGTTGCCAGTGAAGTAGTCGGTATCGTTGAAGGAGATGCTATCAACGCTGAGCTCGACATTACTGCGAGCTGCATCAAACGCCTGGATGATTCCAGCACCCTGTTGCGGAACAGGGGCAATGAGATCGGCGTGGGCCGCAGTGCCGTCATACCAGGCCAACGGCTTTGATGTAGACGACACGATGGATCTGAGACGTTTGGGGTCCTTGGTTCCGTGAGCTTCGGCAAGAAGAGCGTAAATGGCGGCGTTCAAAGGGCAAGCTTGAAAAGTGTCAGCTTGCTTTGTTTAAGTTATTTCATCGGCTTGTGACACAAAACATCCATGGATGTTGACTTACACATGCTAGTGCCAGTCATGACACGATAGCCACCCAGGGCAACAGGAAAAGTAGACAGAATGTTGGCTCCAGGGGCGGCAAATTGAGGGCTGGCTTCCAACTCCCAAGTCGGGCCCCAGCTGGAGAAAGATCCCATGTAGGATCCACTGGAGTTATTCTCAAGCTCCTCGAGACGAGTCCTGGTGTTGTTGGCGCCGGGGATGGAGATCGTGACGCTGCGACCTTGTTGCAACAGTGAGAGCCATTGGTCAGACTGGTAAGGCGGGATAGAAGCGACGCCCTGGATGCCCTCGGAGTAGACATATTGCTCGTCCCGCATAGTACTGAAAGATGACATTAGAAGCCGTAGAACATAGAAAACAGCCGAGGCGGTGACTCACGTATTATCATTCGTGTAGAAGAGAATATGGTGTCCACCTTTGGCGACAATCTTGTTGCCCTGGTCAATTGGATAGCAACCCGTGGCTCGGGAGTCGGGGAACAGAAGCAAAACAATCTTGTTGCTCAGATCGGGAGTGCCGTCAGGCAACTCGCTGCAGGCGTTGTTCTCACCCGGGCTCCAGAGCTGAAGTGAAAGGTCTCCCACGAGCTCAGGGACACCGGGCAAGTAGGCAAAGTCGGACTTGACGGCTGATGTGGAGTTGGAATCTACGGAGAACGTGCCTTCATTGAGGATCGTAGGAAATTTAGAGTTCGTCACGGCACCACTTCCAGCGACACCACGACCGGTAGCCGGGGTTGACGCGTAGAACATGCCGTTGCCGCCGTCGTTGCCTTCGGAGATGACGACTGGGACACCCGCGTCGACGATGCGAGAGGCGAGGACACCCCAAGCATCCTCGGCCCAGCCAGATGGACTATCAATGAGGTTAGTAAGACTTGACCATGTTCCTAAAATTGATAAAGGGGCACGAACTCTCCATCGGAGCATGAAATGATATCAGCTCCCTCCTCAAAGGCTCGGCTGAAGGCAGCGAGCAGCACCTCGTTCGTCGATGTGGAGGCGCATCCCCACGCTCGGTATGCTGCCAGCTTAGCTCCAGGGGCGGCACCCGTGAAGCCGTACTCATTGCCCTCAAGCTGAGCGGCAATGATGCCAGCAACGTGAGTTCCGTGTCCAGCGCAGTCATCCATGGGGTCCGCATCGGGCTGTAGCGGTCTCACGTTGGGTAAGAAGTCGTCGCCCGTGAAATCCCACCCGGCTTCCACCAGGCATCCAGGGCCGAAGCATCCGCCAAGGGCAGGGTGAGTGTAGTCCACGCCGCTGTCGATGATGGCAATACGGACTCCCTTACCAGTGATCCCCTGTTCGCGCAGCTTGTCGACCTGGGTCATGACGTGTGGCGAGAAGGTGTCATTGGTTGAGTTTCCAAATGCCGCTTCCTGGCGCTTGGTGTTGGCCTTGGGAGCCGCCCCCTTGGCTGGTGCACCGTAATCCTCGGGTTTTGCAAGCTTGATCGTACGGACGGGCCACAGGTTCCGGATGCGCGGCGAGGATTCGATCTTGCGACGGAAGAGTGCGCTATCGTGGTGAACCTCGCCAGCATTCTTGACCTGGAAAGAAACACCCTTGAACAGCCGGTTGCTCAGATCCATGCGAGATTCAATGTCGAGGCCATCGGCCTTCAAAGAGCTGTAGAAGGTCTCGGGTGTATCATTGTCGTCCGCGAACTCGACGATGTAGGCGCCGGGGATGAGCTCGCTCGGGTTCACGTCTTTGTTGCTTGCTTCCGCTCTGGGAAGCGTTGCTGGCGAAGGCTTTGTGTAGATGCGCGGATGAAGCGGGTTGGCGGCGGCAAAGTTCGATCCCAGGAGGGCCGAGACGAGTGCGTGTGAGACCCTCATCCTATCTGATTGATCACCCGCTCACAAGAAAGTAGGCCGATGGATAAGGAGCGGACAGAGAGCCAAATTCCGTCGCGCGGCCATGTCGTCCATATAAGAAGATGGTGGCGCTGAACCCCCGGAACTGGTCACGGGCGGCCCGCGATCGCGTCCCCGCTTTCTTATGTTGTTCTGGGGGGTTTGTTGCTTTCGTGGGTGAAAGTGGCACGAGTTTGGAGATGAAGAACGGCAAATACGAGATTCTTTCGTGATGTCAACCGCAGATCCCCGGCCGTACAGGGGTTCCGCTCCACAATGGGTGGCATCCGACGCGAGAGCGAGATGTTTTGACTGCGCAGTAAGTTGTAAAGAAAACATCTCACTTTAACGGTATTGACTGGCAGAAGACGCCTGAGTTGAGCCTCATGACCGATGGATGTCAGATTGCTCAATGCGATGACAATGACAATAAGACCATTCGATATTGAATCTTCCGGTTGATGGGGAGCTCTCGATGTGGGTCTTGAAGTAAATTGTGTCACGAGAGGTATAGCAGTGGATATCTCAGGGGTAGAGATAAGGGGTAGACAGGGGTATGGGCATACAAAAGGGGCTCCCTCGAGGGCTTCCCTTTTCCCCTTTTCCATAGTTGATTAGACCACAGTTGAGATCCCGATTTCCATGAGCTACTCTATATGCTGATTCGTGACAAATTGCGATGGAGGTTTCCGGTGAAAATCAAGGTCATTCAGCCATGCTACCCGTATCCATGCTGCTTAAATAGAGCAGTATCCGCCTGCGAGCGTCTGCCGAGAGTACGCTACACCCACTGAGGCAGGAAGACTGTTCACGCTGAGGGTCAATTAATTCTTGCTTTTCGAAAATACGGAAGTTCCATATGCCGCAGGTAACACATAACCCTATGATCTCAGCCAAACTGTGAGCTCTCCTTCTGAGTCCAATGACCCAGAGCCTACAGTCAATAAACGGTATAGGTCTTGTCATTTATGGTTTTTAACGAGTTCTTAGTTTGTCAAAACATATCGGTACCTGGGCTTCCCGTCGACCATGTCCAAAATTGCCTGGTTGGCCTCCTTCATCGGGCGTGTCTCAACCCAGACCTTGACTCCCTTCGCAGCAACAAGATCAAACATTTCTCGGATTTCCCCAGGGCTTCCAATGACCGATCCTGTCAAATGCACTCGGGTTCTGATAAGGGCAAAAGCGCTCAATGGCACCGGCTCCTCGGGAGCACCGACTTGAACAAATGTACCTCCGCGTGACAGAAGACCAAGGTACTGGGCCAGAGGCATCTTCCATGAAATCGAGTCAGCCATTACTGACTTCTTGTGTTCCATTTGGTGATTGTGACATACCTTGGGAGATGCGACGGTTGAAATGATTACGTCGAGAGTCCGGGCATTCTTAGTGGCCCAGTCTTCATCCTCGGCCGTGGCGATGAAATCGGTTGCACCAAGCTGCGTAGCATCTTTCTTCTTATCGGACTTTCTCGAAATGGCCACCACTTTGTCTGCGCCGAGAGCCTTTGCAAACAAGACTGCACAATGACCGAGCCCGCCAACGCCAATGACGCCGACTCTCTTGCCGGGCCCGACATTATAGCGCTTCAGGGGCGAGAAGACCGTCACACCGCCGCAGAGCATGGGAGCAGCTTGCTCAGGTGCAATGCCCTTGGGAATCTTGATGACGAAGTAACTCGGGCAGCGATGGTACAATGCATATCCACCCTGTGTCTGACTTCCGTTGCGATGGACGCTGTTGTAGGTGTTGACGCGCTTGGTACAGTAGTTCTCCTCGCCGACTTCGCACGCATCGCAGGGCCCATCGCGCGATAGACAGGAATCAGACTGCGCGCCCACGCCGACGACGTCGCCAACTTTGATGCCGCCTTCTGCCTGGGATCCAACACGGACGGCTACACCCACAATCTCGTGGCCAACGACGGCAGGAAATCTGGTGGCACCCTGAGACGAAGAGTCAGCAAGCCAATCACGACTCGAAGAACATGCAGACGACGCATGAGTATGCGACATACCCAGCCAGCGCGCAGAGTGTGAATATCGGAGCCGCAAATGCCCGAGTGAGTGATTTTGATATCGACGTCCGTCTCCTCCCAGACCTTAGGCTCGTACTCTCTCCAGATCATCTTCCCGTCTACCGAGGAGGGGTCGTCCGCCACCCATCCCTTGAATTTGTAGTCAGTAGCCATTGTGATAGTGAAATAATATGAACGGGCGTGGACTTGAATATGTAGAAACACGAGACACTCTGAAGACGAACAAGGACTTCTGGGCCGAGGTGAGTTCCTTTCAAAGAATTCCTGAAGGAGTTGGGTTTGGTTGAAGATGGGTTAGCGGCAACGCTATCCGAGTTGCCGAGGTGTTTCGGGCGGAGAATATGACGAAATCTAAAGTTTGTCGACGACCGGACTCAAAACGGAGTTAAGTCAAGCCCAATTGTGGCACTACTTTTGTGACAAATCTTTGATCTTGAGTAAGGTAGTTGAAGATAAGCCTCTATCGGCTCCGGCAGCTCGATGTTAGATCCACTATGCTTACAGATTCCCCTCATCAGCAGGTTGCAGCTGTACTGCTGTAGCACGTCTTTCGATAAGACGGCTGGATGGAGAAGCGCCGGAGGGGGATCGGAGTAAACCTGGAGTAAAAAGCCCCACCACCTCCGAATGGGTCCGACTCCACAGCAGCATCATTAACTCTTCGATTCTCGCAGATTGGTCTGAGGGTCATTGAACCATTTCGCTCAACTGTTATGTCTAGATACACGTATTTCTTCAGATTTCAACAGACAAAGCCGTGCCCCGGTTTTGACTCAAGTCCGTACTTAGGTCAATGGATACTAGTACCTAACCTCTTGTCCGCAAGTTGCGAAACGTAAGGGCCGACATCTGCCTGCGCTCACTGCTCAATCTAAGTCTACCTCTTGTTGGAAAGATTTTGAGGTTGGAACTTGCTTGTGCTTTGTATTTCCACTCCGTACCTTATATTTGTTCTCCGAGTATTAAGATGTAATAACGTAAATATCCCTTGAGTGCCATGCTCGAAGTCCGCCATATCTTCTTCACGATATACTCCGCTTCCCCGCAAGTGCACTCATTATAGTAACTATTCGTATCGTTGAGTGATGTCGCTGCTCGTCCCCTTTCTACTTCGACATGAGAACCAAAGCTCTCTTGGCCCCAGGGCCGTGTTAAATGCAAGCAAAAGATGCCGGGGAGGCCGGATCACCACCAATATAGTGCTGCACTTGAGGATACATGCAGATGTCTCTTCTCATCTGTTTACCAGAAGCATTGAGCCCCTCAACTCTCAATGTGACTGGAGCGATTCCCTTTTCAACCCAGTCAATCAGCGCGGATAATGTGTTCCGCGGGGCAAGATCATTCGAAATATGTCGCAGCGCCACACGTGGCGCTGCCGGTTACTGCCGTACGATACCGCTTTCCACAAACCGATTACCCGTCTTGTACGGTATAGATATGATCCTCATACGGATCTTCCACTTAGAGGAATCAAGCCACTTTCTACTATACAAGTCTTCCACTTGCTACCTCGCTTTGTGATAAAATACTATGATCGGCGCCCGGGGCGAGGAACATACGAAAATAGTCATGGGCTTTGGGATCCTTCTTGAGAACTCTGTCTGTATAATCGACCGTCCCGTTGACAGGGATGATCTGGTCCGCCATCCCGTGCCAGCTGAGCAGCTTTCCCCCGGCCTTGCGGAACCTGCTCAAGTCAGGGTCGGAAGTGCCGGTGGTTGATTCATACTCGCTTCGCGACGCGATGAAAAGGTCGTCCCATTGACTGGGGTCAAGGGTCTGAAGATCGATATTGGCGTTTTTTGCAACAAAGTATCGTGCGTAGGACTCGGCAATGGATAACCTAACCGGCGCGCACTGTTCTCCTTCACCACCGCATGAGGTATGAAGAGCCCCGAATTGCCACATTTTAGCGTCTCTTCCATACCTATACCATTGGAATTCACCAGAGATGCTTTGAGGTCCATTCCAAGCAGCATTTGCGGCCTCTGCGGCTTCAGCGGTGAACAAAGCGTCTGTCCCTCCGCAGTCGAAAGGGTGGCCGACCAGAGTACGGGCATCGAAGAAGCACCGAGAGGGCATGGAAATAATTCCATCCTCGACTCCATCGAGCCTGTCGCATGCTTTCATGGCCGCGGCTGTAATGGCTTCGAACTCGCAAGGCGGTGGGTAGACGTCCTTCTTGTCCATGACTCGGTGAGCCCATAGAGGAGACCATTGAAATTTGTCCCAGTTGATAGCAGGGCAGAACCCTAGAATGCCGTCAAAGTCGTCGGCATAGAGTTGGGCCAGCATGTAAGCCTGTCTTCCGCAAGTTGAGCCGCCATAGAAGTACGTGTACTTCGGAGGTGTGCCGTAGAAAGACTGTGTCAAGGCTTTTCCAATTGTGGCCATGTCGTGTAGAGCGACATGGGAAAAGTCGAGGAAAAGAGGCCAGTTGCCGTTGCCTGGACTAGTAAATGCCCAAGACATATCATCGCCTGATGCGTCGTCAAGTTTGCTCGAGTGGCCACCATCAGTTGTACTAACGGCGAATCCTGCCTCCAAAGAAGGCATCATCGTAATCCCGCCCACTTCGATCCCCCCCGTTACCAATCCGCCACCCCCATTTCCTTGAAATCTCCCGTTCCAATTTTCCATCGGGAGAAGCGTCGTAACTTCGATCTCATCGTTCCAGCCAGGATGGGTGTAGATCACTGTCAAGTTACAAAAGTTCAGGCCATGAATCGCCCGGCCGAATTGAAATCTGGGATGAGGCTTGTATGTGAAGTTTCGTTCTTCAGTCGCAGTCAGCGATACGACATGAATGCCCTCAAATTCTGGATATCGTATACTGCCAGTTTGGCATGCGTTGTTTGCGCCAAAGGCGACCTGCGAGAGACCGGGATCCGCCCATTGACCTTGCACGGTCGGAACGAGGAAGCCCCAAATCCAGCCGAGAATAGTGATGAGATTCAGTAACATTGTACAGGGAGAATGAGAGAGCTCTTAGTTCAATGATGTGTTGGACGGAAGACGACTTCAAGGTTCATATTCCAGCGAGGTGAATTGGTGCTAAAACCTCAATTAATGAAGGTCCTCAGACCTCGATTGGCTCCAAATGACTTCTTTCCATGGTTCTATACTTGGCAATTATTTACGCGAACACACCAATCGTAAGGGCACACAAGTAAGAAGTTTTCAACTTGCGGTCAGACTACACAATATGATTAGCTCGGTTTCGCTAATGTCATAAAACATCATCTCCCCTCGGTTAATACGAGTATCGCTCATGTCAACTGTGTAAAACGTTACAGGGTAACTATAGACAGTTTTAGGTTTCTTCTGCCAAACATTCCCAGAAAGACTAAGTAGACGGTATTACAGGTTCCCATCAGACGACCAAAAGTAAAGCCCCAGGCCGCACCGGCCCCGGGGTTTTCAAGGTGTCCCAAAGTCAACACAAGGAACGAGATAGGCGAGGCTCCACGTGCCGCTAGTTAACATTTGACCTTCGCAAGTTTAGAAATGCTAAGAGGCTTGAAAGTCATTCTTTCCCACGGAGAATGTCTTCATGGCAGATAACGGCATGTTTCTTCCAATTTCTTACCCAGGTACTAGAATTGAGTACCACTAGTCCCTACCACCAGAAACTTCAGGTTGGCTATCAGCAACCATTCTCATGTGAAGAAGTTTTTCCCTTTATGTGCTGTGCCGCTCCTTAGTCTACCTATATGCCCCTACCTACAACCAGCAATGGGGTAGAAAATCAAACAAATCCCTAAATGCGGTTTTTAGTTCTGCTGAACACAGCGCCGTAGAATTAGCCAACGCTCTATCGCCGCATCGAATACTTTGTCGCTTGGCAGCCTACCTAAGATAGGGCGTTGCTGGTTTGAATCCCAGGGACACGAAATCAAGGCTGTTTTTAAGGATACCGTCTCGCAGCCATGATCAAGATTTGGGGAAAGCGAGGTCATAAACAGTTTCGAACAACAAAAGCCAGGGCCGTGGCTGCTCCGATTGTGCGGGGCCCGGAATTGCCCCATTCGGCTACTACCGAGTGGGACAGGCCGAAAATGGCCCCCCGAGGTGTACCGGCCCCACCACCGGGAAACCCATATTCCACAAGTTCCCAAAAGCATGTGTATTCTGCATTTCGCAGGCTGCGGTGAACGATTGATCTTCGTGTACCTTCAAGCTTCCATGCCAGATCTACTATTCGAGCCCCTGATTTGATCTGGAAGTAACGCCTAGTCTGCAGCGATAATCAAGATGTGCGGCATCTCAGCCTGTCTGACACTTCCTCCAGGCGTGTGTGTGTGTGTTTGTGTGTTATATTTAACGCCGTGGCGGCAAGGGCGCAGCCGCCCTTGCGGCCGACCTCCCGAAGGGTATATGGCGTGGAGAGCCGTCGCCCTATAACTATTGCTAGATACAGTTCAAATCGTCCTCCAAATCGTGCCTTATGGCTACTATGCGTTCTATCTGTCCCTGGTTCCCGCTGGTGCCCCAGTTCCATTCTTGAATTTTTGCGGCTTAAGGCCGGATATGTCTGGAGAGGGCGGCCTGCCGAAACAGGTGAGGCTGCGGAACTGGTAACAGTAATCGTAATCGGGGATAGCTTCAGGGAAGCTATGTCTGTCAATCGTAAGGGTAGGTAAGGCTTCGGTGATCAATCGTAGTCTTGTCAAGGTACTGAAAGCGGATGTTAATCCTGATACGAAGTTAATTGCTGAAGAAGCTATGGAAAGTCTGTCCTAGAGCCCAGCTCGAGTCCACTTCTATATACAAGTCCGATCCTAACTGAACAGTGCTGAACAGTCCACTTTGTCTGGATAGGTTGGATATGCCGAATATCCAACATATCCTTGACTCGGTTGGATATGTCGAATATCCAACATATCCTTATCCCTTATCATATCTCTTATCATCACGTGACTTGTACCATAGTTCTTCCGTTCCGTGAGAGGGTGCCTTGTGTCCCCTTGTCCTGTGCATGTATGGCGTATCGTAACCGTCGTAAGCCTGCGGGGCAGGCCCTGTTCTTGGTCGTGCATGTTGGGTCGTAACAATGAGCTATCCAACATATCCAAACAAGGACACTGTCCAGCACAAAGGACATGTTCAGAATCAGGACTTGTATATAGGATGGACTTGAGCCGGACTCTAGGACAGACTTCCCATAGCTTCTTCAGCAATTAACTTCGTATCAGGATTAACATCCGCTTTCAGCTACTACCTTGACAAGACTACGACTGATCACCGAAGCCTTACCCACCCTTACGATTGACAGACATAGTTTCCTTGAAACTATTCCACGACTACGATTACTGTTACCAGTTCCGCAGCCTCAACTTCTGCAAACTACCCCTACGACTAGCTGGCCGTAACATTATTTATACATCCTAATTAACCGCCCTTATATATGTTACGAGCTGGACAAGGCAACCAACTGTGGCACAAAGCAAAAGCTTCGATAATGATGACTCCGGCATCATTGTCCCTTGTTCTGCATTATATAGCTACGCGCCCACAGTGACAAGTTGCGGCGGGCGTAACAATATAATCTACGGCGCCTCCGGTCGTAAGTAATTTTGCTATATTGTACGAGATTAGTAATTATATTTATTTAGCATGTATAGCACTTTAGCGTAATTAATTGTACGGCTACCGTAAGTCTACTGAGAAAAAGTGTTTTGGCGGAGTGCCTCTTGCAGTCTGCCGTACAGGGTCTACAAAGCCACGGTAAACCGAGACCGACATTTTGGGTTTTTTGGCGGCGTGCGGGTTGGCGCTCCGCTATTAGAAATGCCAATTAAGCTCGCTGGTAGGTTGAGAACAAGGAGGTTCAACAGGCCCACTTCCATGGGAAACCGAGACCGACGGGCTGATTTGCACTGCCATTTTCCCTCCAGATAGTGACATGACGTTCCAACCACACAGCCATACTAACTGACGCTGGGCGTTTTCGTTGCTGTGCTGGCTTTGCCAAACCACTTGCGGATGATGCGGTTCATCATTACACTCGTCAAGGAAAGGCCGTACGCGTATAGAGTAAACCTACGTGGTTGGGGATAATTCATATAGAAACCTGCGTGCCTCCCTGATTACCTCTGCCCTTCAGAAACCACTGCATCGCAGAATACAGTTGTTCTCAATACCGAAAATCCTCAGTCTTTCGACCCTCTCCTCTTCATCGACGAGTACACCATCACATATCGCTCGCTCATCACCAATTATCACCAAAGCAAAGATGGAGAGAATCGCCAATATGCCCTTGTTCGACAACCGGCACATGATGAAGGTCCACATTGTGCAAATCATTGTGATTCACATCGTCATGGGACTTTCGGGCGCAAGAATATCCCTCAAGGGCGGCCCGGTTACTCGCACGAACACCATGTCTTTGGGTATAGTAAGTGCAGCCGTTCCCCATTATCCTGATGCAGGAGTCTAGTGCCGAGAGACAGTCCAGATCAATTCTGGCACAATTTGTCCGATAACTGGAGTCAAGGGACAAAGTTGGCTAACACCATAACCCAACAGTCCGTGAAATCAATGGTCTTCATCATCTACCAAATCGCAACGCAGCACTGGGCCCGAGGCCGGGGCTTGGCTTCCCTGAAAGCCAACTCCATTCTCAACGGCCTTGAGCCCGTCTTCTGGGGCGCCGTCGTCTTCATGTCCATCCAGGGTAACATCCAGCGCTGCATCGGAACTAGCTGCATTCTCAGCTGGGTGATTGTCGGGTGCGGTATCTTCCTCAAGTAAGTTTATTTTTTCCCACCAGAATCAAAGCCGAGATGCAATTTGTCCGCCTTCAACTTGGGAACATGAGCTGACTGGACTCTCGTACTATAGCCTCCTGGCCGCATACACTGCCGTTGTCTCCTTCACCGACTTTCGATACTTCCGCCGCACCGGCACGACCCGTGGTGTCTCTGTCGACCGCAAGGCGCCAATGCACACCGAGGAGATCACTTCAACTGGCTCGGTTGAAGACCAGAAGATGGGACAGCCGAGAAGAAAGGTCGAGAGGATGTAAAGACGGAAGCATCTACGTCATACTCTAGGTGAACACTTCTTTAAGGAGCGGTTCCTATGCCAATACGATAATCAGGAATGTAGTCGGCCTAAGGTGTGGAGGATGGGAACTTAGGTCGATGAGGGATTTGATATGTTAGATACCAGTCTCTTCGGGCCTTCGGGGGCGGGTAGAACGCTACGGAAAGCAACGGGGAGAAACGAAGTAGTCAAATTAATGAGGAACCTTTTTGTGGTGGCGTACTTTGGAAAGGAGGGGAATATCAAGAGACGAGTTGAAGAGATATACCTACTTTAGTAATGATAGACAAGTACACTTTTGTCTAAACTGTCCCTCGGTAAATCGCAAGTCGACAACTAAGGTAAAGGAATTATTGACAACACGGACGGAAATCCACTCCTTCTGCTGCTATTATCCTCTTGCCTCCCTTTCATTCAAGTCTTCAATGATGAGCCATCTACATTTTGAACGAAATCGAATCCGAAAGCAGTCATCAGAGAGGACTCCCAGAAATATCACGATACCACCCTCTCCTGACCATTCAACAAGCACAAAATCGTCTACAAGGCAGCAACTCTCTCGACAAAACTTGTTTCCTGAGTCCTCTATCCCTCGATTAAATGACATACAAAGACAAAATCGACACCGCATCCCTCCAAATCCGCAAAAGCCACCAAACGCTCCCTGAAAGCCCCCACCCGAAGATCAGACGACGGACGCCCCCAATTCTCCGCCCGCCATCCACATCCAACGCGCTCTCCCCGGCCCTCGGAAACTCCAGACGATCAAACCAACAAGCTAGCCCAATCGCAACACACCAACCACCCCAAGCATCAGACGAGACCAACCTCAGCCCCCATCCGAACATCAGACGGAGCATGCTCCAGCCTGAAAACGCAATTTCAACCCGTTCCGTCACGATTCTAGAAACACAGACTAGGTAAAGCCAGATGTATTCGAAAGAGGCACGACGACACCACGTAAATACCTGGATACACACGTGTTCGCAACATCAGCATAGCCATCATCCTGTAATCAAACCTCAAGTCTCCCCTGCTTTATCAAAACTCTTTCGAGGCTACAGGGCAGCTCATGCCGTGCGTTTTCACCAAGAGCCAAGCCAAATCCACATCACCTCGCACAAATCCCCACCCTGAAACTTAGAGACCCTCCACCCGCGCATAACGCCTCCGGCCCTTATCTCCCCCGACCGGGACTATGCTGCATCCTCCTGCTTCAAATACAAGACAGGGAAAAAGAAAATCACAACACCCTTCTCCTCTTTGTAACCTTGTCGAACTAAAAGGTAAAAGCACCGCGAAGCAAACATGCAAGTATTCAGGTGCGGCATCAGGTAGGCTGAAAGGAAGCAAAAATGAACGTGGCTTTTCCATTACTCGTGTCCTCCCCTCCGCCAAGTTGATTTGGAAGACTATAGTTTCACCGTGGGTGCTTCACAAAGCTTGCCAGTTGCCCTTTTATCCCTCTCTTCCTTTCTTTCTTGACACCTTCACTCTCATCCTGCCTCGTCTCTCATCAATCCCTCCCCCCGCCTAGGCCGTTCTGAAGCACTGCTTGCCGCCGAATCTGGGGGTATCTCAAACAAAAGAAAGTAGTGGAGCAAATAGTTCCTGCCCCCGCGTGTATCCAGACCAGTCCCCAACCTTCGAATCATTCCGACTCAGCCCGACTGAGCCAGGCGCTACCACATGTGCCACCACTGCCTTCATTTGTCTTGGGCTCATTATCCCATCATTCCCAATCATTAGTCGAAACATCTCACGACCACGCAGCCCTCAGTCCATATCAAAGAAGCTCCCAGTCCTCTTCAACATGCTTAAATCAACCAGGCCCATGACGTGTCCGTCCATCCTCCTCACCTGCTCGTCATTCAACCACCACGTACAACACACCGCCATCGCGACCAAGATCTGGGCGACACCGAGCCCGATAACAGTCGACTTTAGACCAGCCCACATGACAATCGCATTAGGAATCGTCATGACAAAGACGCCGGCGAACAAGTTCCTCCAGCATGTCACGCCGGCATCCATATCAGCCACGTTCCGCAGGCACACGTTCATGTTAGACGAGGTGAACTCCGTTGAGCGCCAGATGATGGGGCGGATCGCGGTGTCAATGACCGTGACACCTGCAGCCAGGAAGCCCAGCAGGAAGGACAGGAGAGGGAAGGAGAGATGTGCGCCTACGCCATCTAATTTGAAGACGCTGGCAGGGTCCTCGTCAGCTACCTCAGACATGACGGCGTGCGTCTTGAGTCCAAATGCAAGGATGCCAGTAGCCGCGAGGACAGTTCCGCCAGCCAAGCTGCAAAAGGTGTGGTAGGGGGAGTAACCGACATTGCGTTTCTGATAAACGGAAAGGCCAGTAGCGGTAAGTATCGCGAAAATAAAGGGTGCCGCCATAAGAGAGCCGATGCTGTTCTCCCGGAGCATCCATGGCATGGGGAAGAAGAGGAGCGACAGAGATTCCGTCAAGCTCCACAGCGCACAGTACGGAATGAAGGTGATGACGAAGAGCAGAATGGTCGTGGGCGCGACGAAAGCTCGCGGGGCTTGGAGAATCGTGCGCACATCCATCATGCCGGAGAAGGAGAGAGGCTTCATGGTACGCAGGTAAGCCTTGACTTCCTCGACAGATGGCTTTCCGAGTGGTTTCGGGGCCTTTGACATCCACCACACCCCGGACGCAGGGGTTTGGGCGATGCTCCCACTAGACCATCTATCGTAAGTCGTTTCAGGAGCACCAAGGAGGATCAGCGGTATGGCAATGATCTGAAAGGCGTTGATGATGTCGAATTGGATGGTAAAGCGGCCCGCGTCGAACGAGGCCAGGCCACCGAACAAGGGGGCTCCCCAGGTCGTTGAAATTGAAAGGACGTGGTAAGTCGTGATGCGAGCGCTGCGCTCATGTTCCTAGATGGATTTCAGTGAGTGGCTAATCCAATCGCATTTTGCGATTGAACATCATTGCGCTGACTTACAAAGTAAGTGTCTTGTATTGAACCGAGAACAAGTGTATCAAAGGCACCCCAACCGAGGCCCTGGAAGACGCGCGCTCCCATGCACTGCCCAAAGCTGTCGCCTGCGCGCATGTTCCAAATCGCGCCGATGAAGATCAACACCATGGAGACCAAGTAAACCGGCCTCTTTCCCCATATCTTTGACACTGCCAGACTAAAGAGACCTGTGAAGGCAGATAGGACGAGCGGTACGGCCGTCAAGGATGCCACTGCTGTATAAGAGACATTAAACCTGACGGCGAGAACACTATTGACGCTCATGTATGCCGTCTTCATCCCTCCGATCAGGCCTACGGTCATTAGTAGAGCGATGAAATTGAGTTCCTTCTTCCATTGGGGCCAATTCTGTGACAGGCACGTTAGTCTCCGCCCACTGTAAAATGCTGGACCGAACATACCAACGGATCATCTGGGTCATCATTCGGCTGAGGACTCAGTTCTGTTTGCGAGTGTCTTCCAGTCCCATACTTGATCTTGCGTTGACTCATTGTCGTCGAAAAGGACAGCCGCTTCGTCGAACTCGTCATCGGTCGTGCGGGCTCGTCTTTTGGGGGCGGCGGCGGGGGCCTCGCGAACGACATCCTCCTCGGTGCCTTCTCCGGTGCAGCATGGCTCTCCTCTGGCCGTGCTGGATCAAACTCGCCCTTTTCCATATCCCTCTCCATCATTCCCGATTACCGATTTTTCTAGTCGGGATCTGTTGTCGCACAAAAGGAGCCCAGCTCCGGTAGAATTAAAAACTGAACCAGCAGTGAGGATAGAAGAGAAATGGAAGCGGGGAAAGGCGAAAGTTGCGACCAGTCAGTGAAGTATGAATGAAGAAGCTGCAAACTAAAGGGAGGGTCTAGAAGAGGATATGGTTAATTAGATTAGATATCAGACGATCGGATCATCCACGCAAACTAAGCTGATACAAATCCCCATTGTGTGATGAAAGATGGAAAACTATAGTCGACATCCGGCTGTGAGCCTGTGATGGAGGAAAAGAACTGTCCAGTGTCAACAGGGACTCGACTTCTTGACCGGCTGCAAGAGACCTGATGCAACATCACGGGCCCTAAGCATGACAGGCCCTCGACATGTATCCGTATGGATACCAGGCGTCGTGAAAGCGGCGATGGCTAGGAGTTCGGCCTTCTCTTCCGCGCCATCATTGGATGAGACATGGTTGCAGGGATACCAAGCCCTGTCAGAACGACCCCGTCCGATGCGTGCTTGGACCATCACCGGCCTGGGCAGACGACGCGCTGAAACCTTCCTGATGCTAGATTTGTCTCTTGGGTATTTTCGCTGGGCCTAGCTGTATTGTTTCGCCGACTACGTATCATAGTGGCTGGAGATAAGTTCGACTCTTGCTTGGAAGTTGGAGCACAAAAAGGATGGCTCGGCCTCTGGAATTTGACGTCGGCCTGCACCTCCGTGGTGCATGGTGTGGCCGATGTTGATGCAAGGCTAATTGGAATCAAAGCCAGCTGATCGTGGGTTGCAGGAGCTGACAGACCTATGACACCAGATGACGGCCAGCATTGTTCGGCTCTTTTCCCTGTTCCCCCATGCATTTTGACTTTTTTCACAGATAGTTAACAGTTGACGCGCGTTCAGTTGATTGCAACCTCGGGGTGAAAGTTGCGTTCGTGAAGCGGCTAACCCGGCCGAGCTTCAATTGAAAAGTGCACTCTGCTTGAGCTGATGTCAATGGTGTCGTTGCGAATGATCCATTTGTGATTGCCACAGCCTGTTGTCATTTCAAGTGGCTCTTGCCTGCCGGACTTGGGGCCTTTCACCTAGTCTGGCCAATCTCTCGAGGCCACGGTGTGTGGCATCGCCATATTTGAGGCTCTACCATCTAGAACAGAACGCACTAGCCGAGCCAATGTCTAGTTGTTTCTTTGGGGCCGGGCTCGGTAAATTGGCCCGCTCGCCATGGGTCGGGGGGCGGGGCACCCCTTCGTTGCAAGCTGTTTCGCAAACCACCAGAGAACCAGGGTCCTTGTCAGGCTGCGCAGAGTCGTAGCGGCCCTTGTGCCCTTGCTGCTGGCGCGAGCGTTGAGATGGCCTCGGGTAGGGCGCGTTTGTTCGTCTCCGTAGACCCGGGAATGCACCTCAATTTGCGAGCAAAGCAGCCTGCTTGTCTGGTGCCGCCAACTACTCCGTACAGAGCCGTGTGAGTCCGAGGAACTTGCCGAAGTAGAATGCTGCAAGCTAATCCAGAGTCGCAGACCATCTCCCATCTGTTCATTGACATTGTCCACGTATTCTGCGCCGCAGTTATCGGTCATCTGATCAATGACTTTGACGTAGTGATAGCGGAATAGACCTGGCATCAACGTGCTTGCGGCCGGCGGGATGCGACCATCTCAATGACCTGCGAGCGGGTGACTAACCAATGTTCCTCGTTGCTTGTCCGCCCTATTGCCCCTCTGCCAGAGCGGTCGGCTGGTGGAATGGCCCCGCAGCGTCGATCATACATGAAGTGGTCGGATGTGTATGGAGTGTCATACAAGGGGAAAGTCCACCAAATCATGGCGTACGCCTGTACAATTCAACATCCCGAGTAGCCTTGGCAATTCTGTTGTCAAGGTAAGGGGGGGCACCTCTATCTCGTCCTGTAAATCCTCAACGGCCATCCGTTTTCGTTGTCTATCCGCGTCGTCATTATTGGCCCTTTCTGTGTAACCCCATCTAGACCGGATTCGCCCAAACGCCATTTCCAAATTCCATGTTGTATATATCCCCGAGAAGAACTGATTCCAATCAAGGTTGATCGTCCTATTCCATTATGCCAGGCGCATGATGATGTCGCCAAGATGGTGAAACATCAACTCTTTTGTATCCAATACATGCATCTCATGCAATGCGTGGCTGGCCTTGCGACCTCGACGAAAGACAAGCGACGTGTTTCGCTCGCCGGCGGCCCCGAAAGACCCGTTCCGTTCGGCTTTTGCTGCGTTCCCCATGTGTATAGACGGAATCGAAGAGCCAGTCACCGGTGTAACGTTTGCCAGGACCCTGACATGACCGATTCCTTCACATTACAGCAACTGCTTGGGGCTGGAATGGTCGCATAGCGGGTGCCATTAAGACGGTCTCCACTGCATGGGCACTCTTTGCGTCGAGCTGCATGACAAAACCTATAAAGAGGACGGAAGAGTAAGTAAAGTGGTCTGGAACAGCTCGAAGAGGTGTGGTGGTGTGAATGGGTGGGTGTTCTGACGCTGGATGTTCGTCTTCACCAAGGTGGCCGCTATTGAGTGGCCAAGTTCTGGGAGGCGTTCCATCCTACGGAGGACAGGCGGTAACGACCATGACTGAGCCAATGCCGATCTGCGATGGCCTGGCCCGCTTGCTTCTACTTCTCGAAACTTTTCGATGTTGACATTGCAAGTTAAGGTCGTCGATACCGCTAGCCCCCGGATACTCGTGAAGACTGTGTTGACCCGGCCCGGTATTGGCCGGGCGGAAGGAACTTTCATGACGCATTGATGGTTGATTTACCTGAGTCGACAACTTCTTGCACTGCTGATTTCTCCATCGCGAGCAATACTTGGCTGGTGCGGACCAGTAACTCTAATGCCATAGTTAGCCGTTTGCCATTTGCCTGCCAGAAGAGTTTGAATACAGTAAACTTACCTTCGTAGTGCAGAGAGTACGCGACAGGAGCATCCTCGTCCAATCCACGGTACACAGGTAGACGCTCCTTGGTGATATCGGTGACGCTGAATCGCAGGCCAACATTCTTTGTAGAGTCGGCCCACAAGATGGTGCTCTCGTCGATTCGCGGTCGCCCATCGCCTGCTGCGCAAATGGCACTCCTGGCGGCTGCCTTTGCTAACCAATGTCTCCAAACGCGTACCACGCCATTCTCAATATTGCTATGGCTAGCGAGAAGACCAGGGTTTGGACCTGACTTGACTAGGCTGGTTGTTGTGCAAAGTTGGGAGAAGAGCTCTCCGTCATCTAGGATGAGTTCTTGAACGACCGGCTGGTCGCCGATTTCTTGTTCAAGTGGGGCGCCCGGCATCCGTCGACCAAATACCCTCCGCATGCGCCGCGTCTCTTCGGAGACGACCGGGCGGAAGTGGGAGTAGAGGTGAGAGAGATCACGCAAGTCCATATCTTCCTCACCGGTCCACTGGTAATCCAGGAAGTCTACGCCTGTAAATCTACACGTCATGGACGGTGTTGAGTTCCTGGCACTTGGGTGGTAGCTCTCCAGCATCACCTCGTGTCCTTCCATCCTTGCAGTGTGAAGGAGGCGGTGTTGTAGTATTGTGGTGGCAGTAGCATTGAAACGGCGGTCGACAGTCGTTAATGGCAGCAGCTGGCGAGACTCAAAGGTGGACAGGATCGCGATGAGGAGCTGTTCGGGGTAAAGGAAGTTAGCGGGAGTGTAGCATAAGAGTGATGGCGCTTAGCTGCGATGGATAACAGAAGATGCCTACCTCGTTGGGTAATGAGTCGATCGGTGTTGTTAGACTAGACATGTTGGTAGTCGTAGTTTGATGGCAAAGATGTAAGAGGGTTGTAGTTGCTATGTGAAGCAAAGGCTCGTGCGGTTTAGGATGGACCGGAATAATGCCCCGAGGACATGTCGAGGCAGGTCATATTTAAATAATTGTTGATGAAGCCGAAGCAATGTCGAAAGGGGAGTGTATGCTGAGATTGCGAGGGGTGGCTGGAGAGAGTGGTCGGATTCGAGGTGAAGGTATCTTGAAGACCTAGGCTGATAAGGTGGAGATGCCGAAAAGCAGGGCACAAAGTCAATCCCTACGGATCAGTAACCAATCGACGAGGACCCTTGCCAGGAACGAAGATCCCGATTGTGGATAGGGGACGCGATGACGAGCGTGTGTCTGCTGTTTAGGGTCTTTGTGGCGCGATAGATACTGATGTGATGGTCGTGCTCTTGGAGCAGCGAAGTGGCTGATGCAAGGTTGATGGTCTCGGGAGAGTCGAAAACAAAGTGGATGCGGTGACATGTCGGCCAAAAGTTGGATGATTCGAGACAGGGAACTGGGTCTGTCAACCTTCAAGGCTCAACTGAGTGGAGAATACCGGACCGTTACGAGCCTAGCTATTCCCGGCGTAATGTCCGCCCGACCAGTTACCGCCTGCCCGGTGTCGGTCAGTGCCGGTGAGCCCGTGAGGTCACTGAGGTGGCTCCTTCCTTTCGAAAATGGCGACCTTCCGAGAGGCTCCTGCCTCTTGGTGGTACCTACCAACCTGGGAAATGTGGCTGGATGACTAAGTGATCCATCATGCGCCACGCCCAATTTGAACAAGTGCATCTCCGAAGCGAGAGATCCCGCTGCACCTCTTTTTGCTTCGCTTCTGCGGGCACTTCGCTCGCCAACATCCACCCGGCAGAGACAGTGGAGGCCGACAGCACCATTTTTCAGTCAGAATAACACAATTGTCGACACTGTTGTTATCTTCGAGGTCTCACATTGTTTAGTGATCGATTCACTCGTCACAGATACGAAAGTCGCCGCGGCCTGCGCCTCGAAGCTCAAAAAGACGAAAACAAAACTCAAAGCCTTGACCAGCTCAATGTCCGGCATTGACCGTCATCTACCGGTTTTGTCCGACTCTCAGGATAACATCATGATCACCCCATCCGAACCGTCTTACGAGCCTCTCGAGTCAGAACCCACTTTTGCACTCCCGAATAAACAGGCGGTGGGAGCCTCAATCTCGGGATTCGTCCTAGCTTCGCATTTCAGGTCCAGACCTCACAGCCCTGCACGCCCTGTCAAGACCTAACAATAACATGCGTCACGCCTGCTTAATTTTCTCCCCGAGTTATGAGCGAACATGGTCCAAAATTCCTTCTCGAAGAACGTCTGAGCCATGCACACGCCCCTGCTCCCCGTCGCGCCTGTTCCTGTCGTTTCCTTGTCCGGCCCGCCGAGATAACAACGTTGATGGCGTGACATGCCGTTACCCACCGCGCCGTCGTCGGGCAGCTCAATCCTGATCCAGCCGAAGCCCAGGAACGGAGTACGAATACGGAGTACGCAGCTTGCTTTTCTTAAACACTGCGGTACATACGTAGAAAAGTCCCTTAAGCACATGCGCTTGTTTCTTGTTATTATTGTGCCACCACGTATGGTACGTCAACAACTTGCACCAGGAGAAGAAGAGGGGCAAGGAAAGTCTCTTCTTCTTCCGCCTACATGTCAGTTAATCTTCGTCGTCATATGCCAACGCCCAGATCCTGCCTTCGGATCCTATCCCTCGTTCAGCACAGCATCTCCTATCATTGTAACGCATCATCACAGATCACGCTGTCAAACTACATTTACCTTACGCAGAAGCCAGAGCAAGAGCCTCAGCAGCTCTGGGACTCCTAATAAGTTAATAACAGCCTTAACGACAGCAATTTGATGGGCTGTGCGCACTAGGGGAGTAGACGCACGCCGACAGTATGCTGCTTCCACCCATGACCCATCTTCTCACAACCCCCATCTGTCGATAAACTCTCTTGCATTGATCGAAGAAATCTGGAGTACGTGGATGCACAAACACGGGGCGCCGCTCTCGCAGGATCAGGTTACAAGAACCCGAGCCACACTAGGCCCCAACACGACGCGGAAGTTAAGGACCTCGTTCCGGAGTAATGGCCGCCAGGCGCAAGACGAATCGTCAACTTCGACATGAGATAATTGATGCTGATCAGATTCGTGCCTGGCACCCCCTTGATCATTCTGGGGCCATCCACGGAGATCTCGAGAAAAGACCAAGGCAGCGTAGTGACCTCCGATGGCCACCGCGTTGCACCATCGGTGGCCCAGGTTGGCGGTCCTTCTCTACCAACATCGCACCCTGAGTTGCGTTTCTGAATCTGCACCGTGTCGGGAGACGGTCTAGGGAAGAAGGCAGTGACGTGTGGGGGGATATTTGCGGCGCCGGGTATGTTCGTTGCCGGCATTGCAGTCGGTAAACACGGCGCGGGCGGCGGGATTTTTCGCTTGGCTGTGTGATCAATATGCGCGCTGGCCTCTGAGCTCACAAAAATGACCCGTTTTAGACTGTTGCGAAATCTCGTTGCCTGCGGATGTAGAAACCATCATGGGCACCGTGGGCGCTGCAAAGGCTATCGATAGTGCCGAGAGTGTTCCGTCCTACCAGATCGACTGGCGATGTTGAGGAGGTGAACACTTCTTCACTCTCAACTCATGGAGGCCTTGAGAGTGATAGACGTCCGATGGGATCATGAGCGACTTTCAGCATCAACCTCTGGCCAACAGTGTGAGAGTACTTGACTGAGCACTTTCCTCAACCTCTCGATGTTTGTCGGGTATTTGCATGTTGCCCTGTGCACTTTAAAAAATACCGGGATACCCTAGCCAACCTTAGTTCTTCTTCCGTTGGATCCATGCCATGGCGCAGACCACCCAATATCGTTTCCGTGTTGTCCTTATGCATCGTTTTGCCGGACAAGAAGCAAGGGAAAAATCACAAAACCTCGAGCTTAGGTATCCCTCCAACATCAACCGCTCAAATGAAGCGTGTTTTTCCTACCACTCCAAGGTCAAGCCCGATATTGAAACATCTACCTACCTCGGTGATTTCTCTTGCTTACCTGGTAGTTAGCATGCCCCCTCCTGGAATACTTAGAGGTACCCTCAGGTAACACAGCGCTGCCGTTGCTTCCATTGCCTGCGTGGCTGCGTGAAGTGAGTCGGCGCATCACATCACGTTTCGTGACAATCGTCCGGTGTCAGGTCACGTGTCTCCTTCTTCGCAGACCAATGGACTGGAGGAAAGAACGGCGTCTCGGGGCGCCTGGCGCCTGCCTTCCGGCCGGGCCCACACCCCGTACGCGGGCACCCGAAATTATGAACCCGTGGGCCCCCACCCCGGCCGCCCAAGCCGCCCAGCATTTCATTCTCAACTTCACCTCCCCAAAAATAAAACTACTCTCGTTTGTAAACTTCATCTCACTGCAACCGACTGCTCCTCATCGCGCCCAACCTGACGTAACCGTTTCACACAGCATCTTTTTGTGCCATCAAGGTCAAATGACGTCAACCCTATTCCGTGGCGCAAACGGGCACCGTCCTGAATTCTGAGTCACCTCTCGAACCTTTCTCCGAACACGCGGCTGGTGCGGATACCTACCTAAGATTTCTTGCGTACCCGCACATCCTTCACCCATTCGTCGTTCGCTCACACACTAACAGATTGCAGCTCGCTTTTCATTCCTCAATCGATGAGACCGCCTCATGAGATCTGAGTCTCAGCCTTAGGAGCGACCTGCTGTGCAACATCAACCCAGCCACCTCGGACCACGTCATCCAAGTTCTGCGATTACCTACAGGCTACATTGACATTTAACCTAAACGCTGTCCGTCATGGCAACTTCACCTCTGCAAACGCTACCCAATTTCAGCCATACACGCAGACATGGGGGTTCTTCAGAAAACGCCCTCTTGGAGAGAGACCCACCAGTTCCCTACTGTACCGCTTTGCAAAACCTACGCACCTCTCACACCCCCTCGAGACTCCACTTCTAGCTCTGATGCCCGAAAATAAAACGAGGAAGACGAGGCAGACATTGAGTACCCCGCCACTTGATCAGAGCTGCCGAAAGACACCGTTTACCAAATTGTCGATGCTGTCTTGGAAAACTACAGAGATGAGGTAGCGTACGGCTACGATGTCGAAGAAGACCAGTGGCAGCCTGTCCAATGGGCTAGGTTTGAGCGGTTTGCCTTTTAGAGAGACATCGCCCACTTGGCACGGACCTGCAAACGTTTCTCTAAGCTCGTCACACCCTTCCTCTTTGACTACGACATCAAAAAGAATTACGCCTCTTCCCTGCTGCTGTCCGCGAAAAGGGGAAACTACCCTGGCATAATTGAGTCTTTGAGATACGGTGCCGATGCAAATACGAAAGACCACACAGAGTTCACTATCGAACATACACCCTACGAAGAGACTTATCAGAAGACCTGGCGACGCCCGCTCGAGACGGACCTGACATCTCTACACTGGGCAGCATTCAACCGAGATGAAAAGTCACTAGCTTTGCTTATACATCATGGCGCTGATGCTAGCCTTAGGACAGATATCTGGGTACGTCAATTTGGCAGCACGATCGGCGACAAGTTCGCTTGTCAGGCATACAATCTCGTCTATCTTAGCTTTCAGCCAACGCTGAGAGCGATGCCTAGCTCCAAAATCTCCATGGGTGTCCTATCACAACGTCTCAGGTTGGGCGCGAACGCGCTGTACTTTGCCTTTGCCTTTGTAGCCGATGATCAGGCAGGGTCCTACACAACCACGAATACATCTACGCCCGTTCGGGCGGTAATGGACCTGCTCATCGCAGCCGGTGCATCTCTCACGACACATGAAAGCACTCAGCTCAATTCGCTGCATCAAGCATGCGCCAACTGGGACGCTGTGGTGGCTTCGCTTCTTCTCACGAGGTACAAGGTTGATCCAAATATTCGGGACGCCTTTGGGAACACACCGCTTCATCACTTTGCGGCGTGCCAGCTCAAGGATCGCCGTGACCCTGAACCAGTCATTCAGGTTCTCACAGATCATGGTGCGCATTTTAAGGCACTGAATGCTAGCGGCATGACGCCAATAGATCTGGCGAAGAAATATCGCCAAGATGACAACGTGATTGCATCTATGCGTAACGCAAGTGCCAAGCCGCTGCCAGGGCCCGGACAGAGACAACTCCATGTCACAGAGGCCATTGCTGGGAGTCATCAGCGAGATCCTGATTCAGCCGTTCTACCCATGAACTATAGAGGTTTTCATGGCCATGCAGTTGAGGACGCAGTTTGCAATGTCAGATGGACAACGAAGAGGAAGGAGTCTATTAACAAATGGCTTCACCTTCTGTTCATAGCCTGGTTGTATGAGGAAGAGGATGATGAGGACTTCGATGTCAATGATTTGGTCCGCGACTCGGAAGGGTGGACACCGCAGGAATGGAAAGAGTACTGGGCACGGTATTGATATGGGCGGTTACCCAGGAAGAAATTTCCAAATGATCATCAGTACATACAATTGAATTTCTTCTGCAATGCTATGATTTGATTCGGTGCTACTTCTGTGTTCCCTCCCGCCAGTGCCGTGTGTTTTTTAAATTCTTATTCCCTTACCTGATCGCTTTACCTCCGTCAATCAGATCATCTCAACATTGCAACCGCCATACCATGTTTAGATATTCCGTTGAGGCTTGGGCGCTTCCTCTTTCCACATCTCCCGTGTGGAATCATGGCCATTCTTGATAGAATACGTCAGAGAAATAGCCCGCCAGCCCAAGACACTCCCGTCTACGACGTTTGTCACATTGCCACAAGCGGTTTGTTGTTCTAAGGTACATGTAGCCATGTTGCTGCTTGGCCACGTCAATATCTTTGTCTGAGGGTCATGTCTTGTTGGCTGCTCTTGCCAGCACACATGCAGGCTCCACGGACTTCATCCGACCTCCTTTTCCGTAAATGGTGGGCAGATGACAAACAAAATCTCGGAACCAACAGAAAGAAGGAAAGCCTTTGTGGTTCACATCAAGGAGGGCCGACTTATGTCTGTTGCTTTTCAATATATCCAAGCAAAGAAAATTGTTTCTCGCTGCCTCAACGCTGAACCTCATGGTTGGCCTGAATTCTGCAATGATTTCATCTCCAAAATTCTGGTTTACTCCAAAGTAGTCAGGCTATGGGCGCCATGCAGGCATCCTTCCGGTCATGCTTGAGAATCTAGATCAAAAGGTCAGGGTGATTTGAACCAATATCTCAATGATGACGGCAGCGTCCCGACAAACCCGCTCACCTCAAACAAAAATTCCATTTCCAGTTTCCGTACCAATCAGAGTGATTCCGTCAACTTCTACCCAATCGGTTTCAGTACCTTAGCCTGCAGTCCTTGGTGCCTACCATGGTACCCGTAGCCGCATGCTCATGGTGACCCGAGACAAGATGAATGAAAGAATCGATCGACCTGCCTTTGAAAGCGAACGAAGGTAGACTGCCTGCCTTTCCAGGTAGGCAAGAAAGGTCCCTTGGCTGTTGCTCCTTTTTCTTCCCATATTAGGTAGAATGACCCCATCGACTACCTTACTGACCTTGGCTGCCAGACTGATTTTTACGTATTCTACCAGAGTTGTTGAAATTGGTCGGCCTTGTCCACTCACGCATGGTGAAATTCTTTTCCGCAATCATTCCACACGGCTTCGTCAGTTGTTCCACGCCAAGACTAAAAGGCTTGGACTCTCTACAAACGGGTGAGTCTTCATCCCATTCGCTGAAACGTATTTTCACCCCAAGAAAAATAAGATTGCTGACGGTTGCATACAAGATGGCGTCAACCGGTAAGCCTTCTGCCTCTACAGGCGGTGCCTCCGACGCGCCTATCTCAGGTTCCGCCGAGACATCGCCAGCGTCATCTGAGTCATCGATACCGATAGTGAACATCGGTATTCCAGCCAAGTTCCCTACCAGGGAGCAGCTCTTGAAGTTCAGAACGATGAGTTTCCTGCTGGCCAAGTCCAACCCAATCTGCGTTCAAGAACATGGCAGCCCCCCTTGCAGTCAATAAACGCTGCTGTCCGTGTTGTTATCTTTTCCTTCAGCACATGGAAAAGAAGTATGAGAAGAAGTGTCTCTACGGTGGTGTTCACTCCGACTAGTTCGGGTGCTCCCTGCCTCCGTGGACTCCTCTGCCAGTTTTCGAGGCCATCTACAACCTCGTTGACCACCCTTTAAAGGATCGCTTCGAGCGAATGGTGGCGGAGAAGTCTATCCGCTCTGGGGATAGCACCACAACGCACCCCGCCATTGAGAACAAGGGTTCCGAGAGCCCGTCGTGGTGTTGGGGTGCAGTGGAAGGTCCATCGGGCAGCGCCCCCGCAAGTGCAAGTTAATCAACAGAGTATTCGAGTCCAACAAGCAAAGGGATGCCATCACCACTTCCCAATCGAGTAAGTCGACACCCCATAGAATTGTTGAATAACTTGATGTCTTATATACTGGCCAATAGGAGGCTGTAGATCAGCCCCTGCCCCATTTATTTGGGCATGCCCAGCCACTGAAACATGCCAATATTGCCAACCTCGCCATCACATAACGTACTTGATAAGCGAGCTGCCCAGACAAGCGAGCTGCCCACCTAACCATGATCACATTATAAATCTAACTAAGGAGCAACACTAAAAACATAAAATCAATTGAAACTACTCTGAATCCTATTCCTCAGACATTTCTTTATTAAACTGATATGTTCGCGTATTGTGGCCAGTGTTTCCGTAGACGCCACATCGCCGTTGACCTGTTTCTGTCCTCGGCCGACGACCACTACTCTGGCGCGTTTCCTCCTCAATCTGGGCCATAGCCTCTCTCTGCGACTGAATGTCCTCTGCCTCAGCTATAGTAAGACTTGCTCCTTGTCTGAGACGTGTTTTCTTAGCCCTCCTGCGTCGGCTAAATAGGTTATTTTCCTCCCGGAGGATCTAGACCTCCGACCTTAATAAGGCAATCTGGTGCATAAATCCCCGCGCTCCCTTTGATAAATGCTCTACAGCTTCAATAATTGAAGTTAGGGAGCTATTTTGATGGCGGTAGATCCTCCTTTTGATGAGTTCGGACTGAGAAGAGGCCTCTGTTGGGTTATTTGGCGTCTAAGAAGTCCACGCGGGGGGTGTTGTTGGTAGGGACCCTGGGGGTGTTGGAGTGTGTAACTTGACATCAAGCTTCGAAAGCACACTTTCGGCACTCAAGGGAACAAGCCCGGCCCCTCTGAAGCCTCCCTGGATGTTTTTTACCGTTAGGGCTTGCGTGAAAGCGTTGTGAAATGCAGGGAAGAAGTCCTCCTTCGTAATATGGGTATTACCCCGGCGCATCTTATCCTTAATTTGTCGACCATAAGCCGTCTTTAGTGGCCCAAAACACCCAACGTCTAAGGGCTGAAGTAGATGAGACGAATGGGCCGGCATGCAGAGTGTGACGATATTGTTTTCCTTGCAATATATCTCAAAGTCCGCAGAGTGGGGACTTTCGTACCCATCGACGACGAGGAGGCGATAACTGCTAGTTACACGCGGTTTTGTATGCCGATCAGAGTGCTGGAGCCAGTCTAGGCCTCTTTAATTTATTGTCCATCCGTTTTCAGACGTTGCGATGACCCAGTCGCGTAGGAGATCTATTTCTATATACCAGGTAGAGAGGTGATATTGGCCTGCAACGATGATGTACGGCGGAACGCTATAGCCTGACGAACTGATGGCCTGAATGACTGTAACCCATTCACGATTGCCAGGCTGCATCATTTTTATATTTGAACGCCTTTCGGCACTCGTGACGACCATCTCGGATGCAATCTGGCCCATCATAAACCTAGTCTCATCGAAGTTGTAGATATTGGAGTCTATAATACCGTATTTCGCGATTGTGTTCGATACAAGCCGAAACTACGCATTTATCGCATCTAGATCTTCGTATTAGGCCCTCTTATAGTCGTACTTGTAAAAAAAGCGCGTCCGGAGCTATAGTTGTCGTTTAACGAAGTTTGAAGCCCAGCGCTTCCCAACTAGGGGCGCATCGCGGTCGGCGAGCAATCGATTAGCCATTTCTTCCACACCACTAATCCAGGGAGGAAACGATCGGGAATCTAGGTCGAAGGATATACTCAACTAGCTTCTGTTCTTCAAGCTCCGTCAATTTGCGTGAGTTAGGTATAGTATCTTACCATATAGGTGTGCCTTTTAATCGGGTACCTAGGGTCCTAAGGGGGACTAAATAGATTCTTACTGTGGCTCGAATGCTGAGTTTAGTGTTTTTTTGGATAGCCTCGACTGCTAGGTTCAATTTGGCCTCTTTGCTTTGTGACGACATGATTATTTGTGGCGTGATACGCATTAGAAGTGAGGAGGAAGGATGAACGCGGTTGGGTGGGCAGCTCGCTTGTCTGGGCAGCTCGCTTATCAAGTACGTTATGTTATGGAGGTTATTCAAACTACCCTCACCATACCAGACGAAGGCGGATCTTCCTGAAAGGTTTATGACAGGTAGATAAGATCATGGTGATTCGAACGGTTTATTTAACGTTATGATCGGACGTTATTTGGAAAAGATTTGTATTATCACACATCACCCTCATCATTTACCCCTATTACCTTACTGAGCTTCACGATGTCTACTGTTGCTGTTGCCTCCTCCTCCTCCGCCAACGCGTATGCGGTCCTAGGCGCCCCGCGCCTGCGGATCTCTACGCAGATCGAGATGGCCCTCACTGTCCGTATCCCTCCGAATCCCACGATTAACGACCTATATCACATCGTCGTGGACAGTAAGAGGTACATCCTCGAGCAGCAATGAGCTCGGCTGAAAGGCCGGGGTCGATCCAGCTGGATTCGAGATCATGGCGACTTCCTTGTTGAGGTTATTCAGGGCCAGGCTGGGCCCTCCTTTTGGAGTTGCCGACGATGCGACTTAAAGGGGTCCCCTAGGGTATTTGGCGCTGCTGCCACTACTGCTGCGCAAGAGCACTTAGTTCGGTATGTTATCCTAAGCTTCCTGCTCATATAAAGTCTACTCTAACGAGGCTGAAGTGCCCATCGCATCTGCAAGATCTCAACCCTCACAGATGAGGATTCTAACGCTGACACCCAACCCTCCTCATCA